TTTTGTGTAGAGAAACAGCTGATGCGATTGTTACTGGCAGAGGTGGCCAGGTGGAGAGACTGGTGGTTGCCGCCCTGGAGGTATCGAGTTCCACGACCCAGTTGTTGGTGTCCAGCCGTGTGAAAGCTAGCACCGCGTCAAAGTGCGCATTGCTGATTCCGTTCAGTAATTTTCAAGCGTTTACTGTTTCACAGCTAACAATCTCAGGGGGGAATAGTTGTAGCGGATGTGCAGCGAACCCTGTCTACTGACCTGACGGTGTCAATGCCTCATCCCCTTTGCATTAATTACTGTTAACAGACGCCGGTCATCCGCTCACTCATCCACACACCTGACTGGCGTGACGCTAATAAAAGGTCGTGTCCTCTGCAGCCTCTCCTCTCTCTCTCTCTCTCCTCTCAGGTTGTTATGGGCTGCTAGATAGAGGGCTGTGGGGTAGTGCTTAGAGAAGCCACTAAAAATTGTCCTGAGGAATACTGACTTTGCCAAAGTGCTTCAAGGGTCTCTGAATTGGGTCAGGCACACATGAAGGGCGCATCCGTGTTTTCCCTTCGTTGAACACTAAACGGAGGCACATTTAACCAAATATTCCAATGATCTCAAGAACATGTATCACGCTGAAAATAGACAGAACTTGATTACTCAACAGGATTGAGATGTTTGAGGCAAATCGCACTGTTCAAAAGCTTGCAACAATTTTAATTTCCTTTCGTCTTGGAGACGTCGTTTTTTTTTAAATAGCACTCCGATGCATGAGTAATGCTTTGGATGAAACATCGCCATTGTGACAAATTAATCAATATTACAGATATTGACGCGGTGCTAACTGTCACACGGGAGAGTATAGAGTAAGTTTGTTGTTGCTTGGGCACGTGGAGGGAGCATTGATATCATTCCTATGAACAGCTTTGAGACTATCACAGTATCCAGAGGTCCATTCTTGTCAATTATGAAAAATTTTTCGGTGCGTTCTCTACCATTTTAAAGGGACCATCACATGGTGTTTGTAAGGGTTTTCTGACACCATCGACGAGGACAAATACATAAGGAGAAGTGAGCAAACTTGGTTGAATTTGTGCTTGTCGTGAGGACATTCTTGTAAGAGATGATTGAATCTTCTTCATGAAAAACTTTACGACATACGATAAAGAAGGGAACTTGATAATGTGATCAGAATTGGTGATCATTTCACCAGGCAGACGCAAAGTTGTACCAAATACAAGTTCTGCTGGCGTGGAGTCAATATCTTCCTTTACCGTATTCCGAATGGCTAACAAAATCAGTGGTAATGAGTCAGACCAGTGGTTCGAGGCAGTTTTCGCAATAATAGCTGCTTTCAATTGACTGTGGAAACTCTCAACTAAACCATTAGATGCTGGATGATATGCTGTAGTACGAAAATGCATGCATCCAAGAAGGCGGTTTAGGTCTTGAAACAAACAAGACGTAAATTTTGCACCGCGATCAAACGTAATAGAACTGGGAACACTGAATAAGGAAACTCATGATTCCATAAATGCGCGGGCAAGTTTCAGAGACACCATCTTTAGTAGGTACTGCCATAGGCCAACGAGTAAAGCGGTTAACACAAGTTAGGACATAGGTAAAACCAAGAGAAGGCGGAAGGGGTCCAACTAGATCGATATGTACATGTCGGAAGCGCGCGTCTGGGGAGTGGGGAGAATGTCCAGGTTGTGAAATATTATGGCGGTGGACGTTGCTGCGTTGACATTGAACACGGAGTTTAGCCCACAAGCAAATATCTTTAAGAACGCCGGCCAAACAAAACTGTCAGTTATCAGTCCTGAGTAATTGTTCGCTTCTTGGGATTCCCTTGAAGCAAATCAGTCAGTAATGACAAAATTTCAGTGGCATGTGCAATTAACCCGCACATAAAGGTTGACCAAGCCAAGAATAAGACGAAAGCTACGGATTGATTATGGCATTCGATACTCCCGGAATGCAGTTGCTTTCGCAGTCAGGGGTCTGATACCGTCTGCATCAATTTGATGTCCCAAGAACACGAGCCTATCTACTCCAAAAATACATTTTGAGAGTTCATTGTGATGCCATAAGCATTAAGACGGGTAGAAACCTGTCGCAGGTGCAGTAAATGTTCGTCGTTGGCTTTTCTGGCGATGAGAATATCAAATACAGATTCAAGACCACGGATAACTTGATCCACGAATCTCTGAAAGGTCTGTGCTGCGTTGCGTAAACCGAAGGGCATTTGTAGGAACTCGAAAAGGATAAATGGGGTTATAACGGCAGTTTTAGGGACGTCTTCAGGACCATAGGAGTCCGATGATAAGCCCGGACAAGACCAAGTCTTGAAAAGACTTTTGCACATTTTCAACAATAAAAAAGCCGTGAATATGAAAGATGGGGTACCGACTAGGCACTGTGACATTATTATTGAATGCTTCTTAATTACCACAAGTACCATGTGTAAAGGGGCCGCCCATGGGCTGTTGGAGGGGCAGATTATACCAAGACGGCCCATATGTTCAAACTCTGATCCGGCTGCTCCGAGCTTATCCGGAGCAAGTCGCCCGGCCTTGGCGGTAGTTGGTGGACCTTTAGTCACTATATGGGTATTAAAATCGAGAATAGCAACGGTTCCATTCACATTCTTTCTTTTACTTTACCAAGATTTCTTTAGCCTTGTAATATGGACATACCATTCATATAGTTACTAAATGTATGTATTCAAACTGACAAGTGCCCTCTGTATAAATAATTACCAATGAATTGGACCAATGTTGATCAAAGCCAATTAAAGCTGTTTAATCTGACATGTATCTCGAACTTTAACTGAAACAGTAAACCTTGCTGCAGGGATTGGGGAGGTTGTGTCTGCGGTTAACAAGGGATTCCCGAGTTGGTTACATAAAAGTGTTTTTGCGACGAGTAAATTTTAACATGGATTTGGCTTTACTGTACTGACTTGGCACCGATTGCCTCGACAGATCTAAAAGACGACGCCTTCGAATTCTATTGAGTTTTACGGTGTTCAATGTACCTCGTGGATAACAAGAAGGAACCAAGCACTACTTCGAGCTGTTCCTGAGATAAACTAGCACTAATATTACAACCGATAGTTGGGTATAAATCACACATATCAAAGAATTTGGCTCCCCATTTTAGTGATATAATGCACAATGTCAATCCTATTTTCTGCACCCCCAAAGCAGCACAGTCTGTCTACGGGCATTATTGTTCATCAACATCACAGGGATTTTGTACACATAACAAGATTAATTCCATGAAATTTTAAAGATCACACTTTTTCACAGTACACCACACTGGCAAAAATTGCTCATAACAGCATCTGAAGGAGCATCCTGAGCTAGGAACAAAAAAACGAGGAATAAAGCATGTGGAAAATTCCTGTTCAATCTTTCCATGACGATATAGGAAATTCTAAAATTAATCCCAGAAATAATGCCTCGTTGAGTTACTTATCGAAGAGGTATAATTATATAAATAAAGTCACTTTGCAAAAAAAGATTGTGTTAAGACTAATTCAGTGCATGCGCGAAATTCGGATAAGTTAACTGCTTCATTCATGCGTATCAATAATGCACAAAATTATTAGAATATTTAAAAGTCAAAAGTTGCTTTGTTTCTTAAGGTGAAAATGGTAATAAAATGTAAGTAGAAAGCCTATGCTAATGCTGTATAATAATAAGATGACGGTGACAAAATGGTTCGATTAAATGATCATTTGGTAACACTGAATCCTGTAAACTGTAATTCAATGATGGCAAAAACCTAGTGTTTACATGTAGAAAAATGTCCATTCTGGCTGGATAATAGGTCAAAATGTAACAGCAAAATCTAGTTCCAGTTCTCAGTTTAGGCAAATAGGGCAGTCCTAAGCGAATCCATTCATTTTAACTTATTACATTTTGCTGTACGTGTAAAAATCATCTTTTGGCTTCGTAGTGTCAAAGAAACTGATTAGATTGCTGGCTTAACAAAAAATTATAGTAATTTGAAGATTAGAATTAAATATAAATTTGCAAAGAGCAATTTAAAAGGAGCAATTACATTTGGACTTTCCTGCGTGCAAAACCTTTAACCGTTAGAAGAATGGACCTAAATAACTCTTTGGCATGCGTAGTAGAAGTTTAACCGCTCTTTATTTCCTAAATTTTAAATATCCACAACTTGAATGTTTATGTACATTATTCAACATCCAAGTTTTAATTGTAAAACTGGTTTAACACAATTATTGGTCCGAAATGTTAATTTAAGCAATCAGGCATTTATTTAGTTCTACCTTTCTACGATTTCTGCAACCTTGTGTATTCGCTTTGTTTTAATCTTTGCACCTTGTGTATTCGCTTTGTTTTAATCTTTGCAGTCACCGAAGCGGATTAATTGGATCGTTCTGCCCGGAATGTCTTTGCTGAGGTTTTCTTCGAATTGTGCCATTATTCACTTTTTTTAGCCAGTTACCTGCACCCAGTCAACGAATCGTAGATGCGCAGACGTCTTTGATAGCAAATTCGTCTCCGGCTATCGTTCTGAAGTCGAAAATTCCCCCGTATGGCTATCGCAAAAATTGGTGTCCACGAAATGAAGATGATTTTGGCGATGGAGGTGCGTATCCGGAAATACATATGCCGCAGTACCCTCTCGGAATGGGTCGGCAAAAAAACGCCTCAAATGCTCTTGTAATGAAGACAGACAAGGATGGCAAAGTACGATATGATGAACTTGTTCGTGGGGGTCACGCTAAAGACCGGATTGTGTATTCTAAATTTTCTGATCTACTCCCGAAACCCATCGATGAAGATGATGAGGAGTTTCAGAAACCCGCAAAAGAGGTCGTTGAGGAGGTATATGTTATATTCGACTAATTCTCGTAGACAACGGAGAAAACCCGTAAGGCCCTTGAAGCACTAATTGAACAGAAAGTTGCGGCGTCCTTACCTGTTCGAAAAGCTGAGCGGACAGGACCCGCTGAATATATTAGTTACACACCTGCTCAGCAGGGACCAGCCTACAATAGTGGAGCTCAGCAGCGTTTGGTTCGAATGGTTGAGGCACAGCGTGACCCAATGGAACCTCCTCGGTTCAAGTAGGTCCTCTCGATATTGACTTCATTGATTATCTAGAATTAATCAAAAGATTCCTCGGGGTCCACCATCTCCCCCTCCGCCTTTGATGCATTCACCTTCTCGTAAAGTTACCGCAAAAGAACAAGCTGAATGGAAGATTCCACCTTGTATATCTAATTGGAAAAACCCCCGAGGCTACACAATACCCCTTGACAAACGCGTTGCTGCTGATGGACGTGGTCTGCAAAGTGTTCACATTAGCGAAAATTTTGCGAAGCTTGCTGAAGCGCTCTATACTGCTGATCGCAAAGCCAGGGAAGCAGTTGAGTTGCGCGCGCAGATCGAGCGGAAGGTTGCTTCAAAGGTGCGCGAACGAAAGGAAGAACAGCTTCAAAAAATTGCAATGGAGGCGCGCGCTGCTCGAGCTGGTCTTCGACGTGCTGGAGACGTGGATGATGAATCAGGAATCACAAGCAGAGATCAACTCCGTCGTGAGCGCGCACGCGATCGCGCCCACGAACGTAACCTTGGTAGAACTGGAGCCGAAGGCAAAGTACGAGGTCAACGCGACAAAGATCGCGATATCAGCGAGCAAATCGCTCTTGGGGTGCCAAACCCACGCGCGAATACCAACTCAGAATCCATGTTCGACCAGCGTCTCTTTAATCAGTCGCGTGGAATGGACTCCGGATTTGCAGGAGGTAAATGTCTAGTTGTACTTTAAACATCCACATAGGTGAGGACGATCTTTACAATATATACGACAAGCCTTGGCGCCAGGAATCCAATTTTGGTTCCCGCATATACCGACCACGCCAGACAGATACGGACACCTATGGCGGCGACCTAGAAGCCTTGGGCAAGCAGAGACAATTCGTTCCTGAGCGTGGGTTTGCCGGAGCAGACAGGAGCCACCGTCTCGATGGTCCTGTTCAATTTGAACGGGGCGGAGACGATCCCTTTAACGTCAGCACCTTTCTACTTGAGGCCAAAAAGGCAGACAAAAGGCCGGGCGATTCCGCTACGATCTCCAACCGGGACACCACCTACCGAAAACGTGAGCGCCGCGACTAACTTTCCCATATTTCTGCCCGATGGTTATATAATGCCTGTGCAGTGTCCTTTCCACACATTGTTGCTGTGTACATATTTAGACAACGTTTACTCCTCACTTCGTGTCTGTGCTTAATACTATGGTCCAGTTGTAAGTATAGTTGGCATTTTAGCCGGAGGTTACGATGACGCGGGTGGGAAACAAGAGGTTGCGGAATCATAGCTTCATTAGACCTGATCAGAGATTTGGCATATAAAGCAAAATGGTAAAAAAATTCAGCTCAAGTTAATGTAAAAATGAAAGTCAAAAGGGGTAATGGTGGTATTGGAGAAGTCATCTTCATTACTCCGGTCCGATTGTTTGGGGCACCGGGCCTGAGTGTTGTCCATCTTTAAGAATTCTAGAAAAAGAGGAGGGCGTGTAAACCCAGACAGAAGTGCAAGGCTGAAAATTGGGGAGGGCGATTTTAGGGGCTAAGGTTTTTGTAGGGACACTACTCGAATGGCCCATGGTACGATCTGTGAAAAAGTGAGATGGAGGATGAAGCTGTAAACTTCCTGAGTGACGCTAAGAGGCCGTCGCGTCAGCGAGCTCTACTTGAGGTTCAGATCAAAAAGGGCCTAAGCCTGGCTCAAGGTGAACAACGCCGGGGCCTCACCTGTTCGAATTCGGCTGAATTCGAGTAATTGAATCGTCGAATTCCGGCCAACCGCATTCTCTCTGCTGTGAGTTGCGCTTCTAGCTCGAGAACGCGTACTTGAGTGTCGACTTCCTCTTTGTGGGCCTGAGTGAAGGAGAGCTTCGCGAAATCCATGTTATCTGGACAAAAAAAGTAACAAACGAGAAGATTGTGAAGTGACCCACAACTCCGAATGGCAGTACCGATCAACAATTAGCGGGACAAAAAGCACTTCCCGGAATCATTACTATCTGCAAAGAGGAGCTGTGCTACACAGCCATGACGTGATGCCGACTAAGCTTACCCAACTGCTTGTCAGTGGAAGAGGCGTTGTTGGCGGCAGCAACAACTTTGCCTGTCATTTTCGATACCTCCTTGGCTGCATTCTCCAGACCAGCGAGGCACTTCGATGTGGTGCTAGCTTTCACACGGCTGGACACCAACAACTGGGTCGTGGAACTCGATATCTCCAGGGCGGCAACCACCAGTCTCTCCACCTGGCCACCTCTGCCAGTAACAATCGCATCAGCTGTTTCTCTACACAAAAACAACCAAAACCTCATGCTCAAGTGGGACCTTATAATCCCCCCCTCCACAACTGACAGAGATTCGAGTCGCCGACCAAACGGGTGTTTTATGAAACACCACATTAGGAATTCCTAAGGCATAAGCGGGGGCCTTACATCGAAGGGTATGTTTCGAGTGCTACGTGAATTTGAAACGCGCAAGGTTAGTTTGATTGGACATCTGTGCGCAGGCGATGATTGGTCGGATCAACCAACCATTCAGTGAGGGCTAATTTCAAATTCTCGGAAGTTCCTCCAATCAGACGTGTATACATCATCGGGAACAACCTGACAACCCATTTCGCTACTCACCGAAGCATAGAGGAAGCTGATATTTCGCCAGTTTGTGACAACTTAGTAAAAAATGCAAATTTACAAAATCGAGTCAATGTGCAAGGTAGCAACAAAGTAATCAAAAAATGGTTGACGAGATTGTCTGTCATTTTGAAAATAGACTAAATGTGCTTTTATCTAAAAAGTGTACAAATGTGTGGTAAAAACACTGATTTATTGAACACTATTAACTGTGACTTTTTGTCTACAACAACTTGGGAAACCCGGCAACTTGGATATATAAGTAAACAATATTTACACCTTCATGGCGCCATTTAGGTTCTAAAAAATTTTAGTGGTATCAACAAAAGAAAAAAATTATGTTGAACGTACCTGACTGTGGTTAGGCCCACCATGGCTAATGATACTTTGACGTTATCAGCAGGTAGTGGTGATACCTCATCTAGTCTCCAAGCCCTATGTGTGCTCGAGCGTCACCACAACGTACACGTGAATTGCCGTCGACTCACTGCGGCCACGGCAGAAGTGATGTCGATGAATGCATTAACGTCGCGACATAGAATTTCAGTCGATAGAGGGATATTAATCTCAAATTATTTCTGCATGAAACATGATAAGAGTTACGAGGCAAGGCCCCTTTAAACCACCTCCACTGATCCCATTTGTTTAGCTTAATCCGAAAATTTAGACTGTCTTGAAACGAAGTGGTAAAAAAGTATTACATTATACTTTTAAATACCACAAATTCTTTAGCTTCGAGAAAATAATTTTTAAATTCAAGAAGAAGAAATATTACATTACACATTTCGTGCCAAAGATATCTTGGTAAAGTAAAGGAGCAATCCGCTTCCCTGAATGGACTGTTGCTGCTTCTGTTCCCCTCCGCACCACTTAAAACGCTGATCCAAACACCTAAATGACTCCACTGCAGCGCATTCAATGTCAGCACTAAGAGGACATCTCCATTTGGGGATATTGAATTGGATCTACTCTAAAATATTCATTTTTTTAACAAGTCTTTCTGTTCCGAACGATGGAAGAGTGACATTTGAATGCCCTCTTCTCATTAACACCAAATGACAATTAAGTGAATCGGAAAATTATCCATTAACGTGAGCTACAATACAAGGTCAAACTTAGCAATTAACCGGCCTTGACGAACGATTTTATTGTGCATACAATTTAGTGAAACAATTGTTTCCGTGTTTGAAAAACTGGCAGACCGAATACCGCGTTCTATTCGGCCAAATCTGATTTACCTAGGCAAACTTGTTTTTTTTTGGGCTGAAATTACGTACACCCGATGATCTGCTGTAACTCTATTCTTCGTCAATAACCGCTGCAACACAGTACTGTGTGCTAACAAACTGTTTTTTTTTAAATAACCAGTGGGGTATGCACGTAGGCGAATTGTTAAACAGCCGACAGTTGAAGCTTTTATACGCCGTGACGATTTTTGCGTAGCCGAAAAATCACCCTCAGAGAACTAATACGCATATCTCCTGGTTAACTCAGACCCCAAAAGTCCCAGTGCTTGGGCAGGAATGACCTCATGCAGAAAGCCTTTGCTGGCTCAACTAAAGGCCGATCAAACAGCTTGTGCAGGTCTTGATCTACCTTGACCCGGCGGATTACTAGGTCTTACCGCAGATGGGAAATGTCGGTGTGAAGCAGAATTATTGAGGCAACGTAACTGGTGGGCTATGGGCCCACCAGTCGCTAAAACAATTGTGTGAAATTGGGAAAAGGTGAGAATAGAACTGCTACTAACCTCGATTTTAGGGGGAAATTGTTCTGGAGATCGCCAATAGTAATAGTAACACTAAATTAAAAGACCACGCCAGAGAGTGGTTTGGTTGTTTCAACTCCCGATTTAACCACTTCAAGCCGGAAAAAAAGTTTACATGCACCAAAAACCTGAACCGAAGCAAAACCATGGCTTCACTAGCAAGAAGTGACTTCAGTGGTCAAGCACTTCTTGTGGCGTGTTGTGAGATCCGCACGATCAAGTGCACAAGGCTCCCGCATTCACGCGGAGAGGTAAAGCATACATAGTGGTCAGCTGATGATTCCCACGACCCACTAATAACACCCTCCTCGATATGCATAATTCACCCATCCAACATCGCGCTTTAATGACGAGGGTCGTGAAGTTGAAGTGACTACGGATACAGTAATATGTCTTTTTTATTTAAAAAATCGGGAAGCGCAGTCATGCCTTGCTGGTAGCGAGAATCTCGCGTTTTCACCATCGGCTGGACACATATTGGTGAGACACCAATTTTGCTGCGCCAACGTCATACAAAACGCAGACTCTCGCAACCAGAGGGACAAGGGGTAAAGGGATGTGAGAAGGGGAGCGGGGGGGGGGCTTTTATCTACGACTTCAAGACAACGGATTCGTGGGGAACTTCAACAATCTCCAGTTTCGGAGACAACTGCGCAGTGCGTGCTTCGACGGGCGATGGAGCCGCCAGCACACGACCCACAATCCACGTGGGCGTGCCGTCGGCTTCAAGGAGCTCCTTGCAAAATTCTTCAGCTTCCTTCTCGGGCATGACGATCAAGAGACCTCCTGCAAAGGCAAGAGAAAATAGCGTGATTCCGCACCTCAACGCCTCAATATCCAATAAAGCGAGTGTTTGTTGTATGCGCAAGTTCTTGGACGGTGTAACACGTTGTGGTGAGAATTGAGGATTCGCGGCTGTCACCAGAGTTGCCATGGTTACGCACCCTCGCCGGCTCCCTCATGAGCCAAGTGACTCGACCTCTGTGGCCAACCTGATGAACACTTATGTCCCCTACATGAACAAATCCCGCTAATGCTCTAGGCTAACACCAACTACACTCTTAATCGCGGAGTCGCTGAACATGGATAAACACAAACATTTAGTTCCGGTAGAATATTAACTCCCAACATTGACATAGAGGTAGTGTAGAATACCCGAGTCCTAGTATGAAGAAGACTGGTGCAACAGAACATGCTTTATTGACCAATCACAAGCCAGGACCACACGTCAGGCGCCGTCCATCCGAGCCCATGACGCTAGCTACGCTGCCCAATATATATAGTGCTTCTCATTCGTGTCCGTCTCTGGTTGGCTGCCTATTTCCCTCGCATGCCATTCGAACGCAGAGACAGAGGATTGGCTGAGGCCAGCGTGGTCCCATATGTCTGCGCCCTCAGACGTCGCTACAGTAGGGCCTCAAGTCATGCATATTTTCTCCACAGAAAGCAATTTGAAGCGCACCACACACTGTTTAGCTGGGGCTCACAAGATAGCGGGGGTTCAGGTTTGGCTCCGGGGCGATTTTGAAACAAACACAAAACCCATGAATCGCGAACTCCTTTTCAGAATAAATGAGGCGTGTAGAAGGCTCCCAGTTGTCTTTGCGTATATCAATATGGCGTTTCACGAATGAGGAAGATCTGCGTAGGCGCACGAATTGCACGATGCACCTTGACACCCGGCACTTTATGTGCTCTATTCATTCGTTTACTTGCTGTTTGCATTGATGCGGGCAGCCAGCAGATTTAATCTTTAACATCCTGAACCAGTACGTACCACCGCCTAGAACCGACCTCCCATTGGTCATGCTGACAGTTTAGCTAATAATCGGCCTTTTGATCTCAACATACACGAGTCACCTACACATTAGCAAACCCCAATAACGAGCTGAAATATTGCCCGGCGAAACCACTATTCACGTTGTGAGACCAACGAGACACCGACATTATGACAATCAGCTGGTAGGATGAAAAAAGTGGGGGCGAGGTGAGGTACCGACCTGAGGTCTCCGGAGTCAGACCGGTGTCGATATGGTGGCGGGCGGCGAGGGCCTTTGAGAGCCGGTAGACGCCCTCCAAGCAGGGCAACCGGTGGATCTCGAAGGTGACCGCCGCGGTCTGAATGGCGGCGAGGTTGCGCGCGTGACCCAGCACACCGAAGCCTGTCACGTCGGTACAGGCCTGCGCTCCGTGCCTGTGCATCAGTCGAGCGGCTTAAAGAGATTGAAATATGAGTCACACAAGCAATCAATTCAGCGCTTTTACTTCTAGAGCGATTCGCCATTAACTTGATCGATAACAAACCTCCACTAACACAAATCGATGAAATTAGCCTACACCGACTTGTGAAATATGAATAGGTGATTGGTCGTCGCGTGTTTAGATGAATGGCGACTTCTGACTGGTCAACACAGGCAAATCAAACCAGTTAAACGATTCTCACAACTTCATCCTTACCGTTTCGGTTGAGTCGGGCCATAGAGAGCGTGGCGGCGCTATAGAGAGCACGCATTTTCTCCTCGGATATGAGGGGCTGGCACTTGTCGGTCCACATGGCGCTGCGATCGAGCAGCCAGTTGTAGGCCGTCACGGCCAACTGCGTTCCCAGCGGTTTCGTCAACACCAACACGCTGCCCGCCTCGGCTTGATTTGGCCTTGAGGTGAAACAGGAGAGGGCAGAGGTGAATTTTCCGCTTAACAAACCGAATTTTGCACACTGGTTGGCGCGTTCGGTTATGTAAATGGGCTCAAATCCAGCAAATTGGGGACAGTTCAACCATGATTGTGGCCTACATATAGAAATATCCCGCCGACACGAAGAATCGCTAACTCAACACTTTCGTCCTAATCGCAACTTTGCCCCGTTCATAAAACACCAAAGATAACACTATTTGTCGTTTTTGTGTTCAATTAAGGCGCTAAAGCCACGGACGCAGTAACTACAGAACTTCGTGGCGTAGACAAGCAAGAAGACGTCATTAGTAGAATTGATTTGTCGAATTTAAAAGCAGGCGATTTCGACTTCAAAGACGCATTCCGTTGCCGCAGTCCAGTGACTTTCGTGAGGGCCGTTTGAACCGGGAGTTGGCCGAGAAAACTAGTTGCCAACATTGTGATGGTTTCTAGTTAAATGCTTGACCAACTGGCTGACATGTGCCGCAACTCAATACTATGCAAAAAGAATCCCTTTCATGGTCTGTTCGACCTCAGTGCGCCCACATTTTAGAAAAATAACGATCTTAGGCAGAAGACTAGCATATGCTAAAATCCTTCCTCGTTAAATTGCACTGATTCGCATATTTACACATGCACCTTTCACTAAGCGCCACGTTTCCACCGCCGAACAGGTGACTCTTCACATGCCAACAAATGGAGCACCAATAGAATGTCGCCTCAGATCGGTGGAATTGGCTAGGACGTTTGACCGCTGGACGACGTTTACTTCAACAAGACGATGCCCTCTAAACGTCATCATGTCAGCGAATCGGCACCTGCGGAATACTGTGGAAGCCCGGGAATTAACGTGCAAAGTTCGACTATCTCCGAGAATCACATTGAGTTTCAAACTTGAAATTGGCGATTATCGTCTTCATGCAGGGAATTGAGTGCTTCAGTTGCTGGTGATTTAAAGATTGCGAAACGCTGTTGGCCAAAGAACGTCGAGCAACCGTCTTCGATTGACGAGAGCAGGGCCATCCGTCTCACATGGGTTTGTTGTTTATCTGTTGACGCGAGGTGCCACATGAAAACCAGCAACAAGAGAAGGCAGAGGACTCGTGACAACGCTACGGCTGTGTGTAGCATGACTCGATAACTCGCAGACGTGTCAGCACATGCGTCGACAACGCTGACCGATGCGAACTAACACGATTAACTGCAGAAGCAAACAACTCCAACTTGTGATGACTACAGACCGTTGGAACTGCCAAAGACCTACATGATGAAGTCGGTGTCCGGCACGACGGATGTGGCGGCACCACCAATGAGAACCCAGGGATTGTACACCGTCTGACCTCCGCGCACGCTCGTCCCGGCTTTCAGGGCGCACTCCTACAAGAGATACGTGGTAAAGTAATGTTGATTGACACAAAATGCTGCCGTTGGGTTTGTTTCGATAGACTTGCGTCAATATTAGGACCTGTTACTCACGAATTCTTGAAGGATGTCTATTTGGTCTGCTTTGAGTGTACCATGTGGCTGCTATTTTAGGGTTAATTTCAACAAGGATTTCAGGCAGATTATGCTCGGGGTTGACGAAGCTTGTGGTCGGCCTAACATCACACATACCTGAAAGCCCTGCATGATGAGCGAGGTGACGATGGTGCGTTCGGTGGAGTCCATGTCGGTGGGAATGCCGAGAAGGAGCAGGAGGTTATCACAGTTCACCACACCCATGGCGTAGAGGTCACTCAGCACATTGCAGCAAGTGATCCAACCCTGCAAAGATATCCAAGTTTTCAACCTTGACGGGACAGATAATCTACGCTCTGAACCTCACAACTGCCTATCCTTTTAACTTAAAATACCCACACCTTTATCAAATACGACGGCGACCACACCCAAACTTGAGAGTTGCACGACAAAATCGTGACTCAGTAATTGATTTCGAGATTAAGTCTCTAGTTGCAAGTGTCAAAATTCAGAAATTAAACACGACTGGCTGCTGATCTGTTAATACTGCAACGTGGAAACACCTGAACTTGACCGACACTGTCAATTATGCGGGCAATATCATTTTGCCCACTCACTTGATTTCTATTGAAGACAATTATCCATGGCATTCAGAGGACGTGAGCAGCACGTGTCAGATTCTGTGCTGAGGGCGTCTACAGTGCGGCGAACGCCGTTCCAAGTTAATAATCGGTTAGCGACCCTGAGATCATAAGGTCTCGTGCACCACACTGAGGAAGGCACGTGGCAGCAACTGCCGGCAGATTACTAAGCAAATCACGCCCGATACATATTGGGGTTTCAACTGCCTGGTAGCGCTTACACTACAAGTGTTAAACGAATGAGCTTAATGTTGGAGCAAACTAAAGAAGCAAAGCCAAACATGTTGAAATATCAGGAAAAGGTTGCTGATGGTCATTACTGAGCATGTAGAAACTGGCGTCAGGCCGAAAATGCAAGGAGATAAGAAAATTCCCTGGCGTAGTGCGAACACCGAGACTATAAACATTGAAGGGCGTCTCCAGCATTTCTCGGCACGGTGTGTGGTCAAATTTGATGCAACTTTCACAAAAAAAAACCAGACGCGAAGCAGGCGTGGCCGGCTCTGAACGCCAACTTTGTTTAGACGGACACGCGTGTACATCATTGCCGCTTCCTCTCGTGCTAGTTCATGTCCATTAGCCCTGTTGACGCATGTCCAGACAACCCCCATATAATCCACCCCTCAGTAATCCGCGTGTGTCTCTGTTCTGCTCAATCCCCTCCCTCTCCCCCAGCGTCCAAAATGCACAGGCATGTGCATAGTTCCGCCCACGTCGGCTAATGACCTGGGTAGATACGGGCACAACGCAACTGAGTTGAGTCATCGAATAAACGCATAGAGTAAACATGGCGTCAACAGTATGGCGGCCCCAATGTGACTAGTGACCCTCAAGTGATCACTCAGGTCAAAGCAGATTATAAACTCAGCACGTGCGTGGACAAACTCCATTGAAGCGTAAAAACTAGAAAGGCGAGCGAAAAGGAAACGCACCATGGTGTATGGATCATCAACGTTAGCATAGAAGAAGTCCGTTGTTTGAATGAGCTTGAGATTATTGCAAACGGGGATAACACAGCAATCAAGTTCAGTTGCTGAAAAGAAAAAGCAGGCATTTGGTGGGAAAAATGACAAATTAATAAACAGGGCAAAGTCGCAGCAATACCCGTTCGAGCTCCCCCATCCAACAAATTAAAGGATACAGAAAAAGCAACGGAAGTTGTGGGCTGATTTTGCTTCGTAGCGGTAGGCGTCGTGAGTTCACACTTAAGAGGATGACTTTCTCGACTTTAATTGTCTCCTCTAACCGCTTGTTAGACCATCTCAACCTGCATCGCTAGCCCCACCGACAGGGTCTTTCCTCATTGGTTCCCGACTTGAAACTTATAAAAAGTCACGAAGACGGCGAATTGTGGCCTAATAAACGGACAAGGCCCCACCACCTCCCTCTTCCCCGAGCACCTCATGTAGTACTTTGACTCGACATGATCATTCTCTGGTAAACTTGTTTATACAAAATGTAAACGTTAGATATGCGGAACTTAACGTTTGTAAAATACAACATAATGGCAAGAAAAAGATGCATGGAGTATTAATCCCGGTAGATAGACTTGCATCCATCTACATCGTGTGTTAGTAAAATTTTATGCTAGGTTAAATCGTACAAATGGGGCAAAATGCAGACGTCCAAAGCACTAGATACTTCGCTTGTTACTTTATCTTAGCGCTTTGAAGGTGCAGAATCGCCACTAATTTGACTTGTAAGAGTCAATCACATGCAGAAAGAGACAGTGTTTATCAACAACCTGGAAAGACAACAAAATTGTCTTGTCCGTGCTTGTGGAGGCAGAACTTCTGAGTGTGTGCATGTGATGTTGAATAACCGTCAAGCTCGAATAGCACACGGCAATGTCCTGTCAGATAAATGGTTGCAAGAATTGAAACCGCGAAAAGAACCAAATCAGTGAGAAGACGGATGATTGATTTCGTTACAAAAAACAGTGAAAACCGGTTTTAAATCGAGAACACGTCAGTAATTCACTTATAACATAAGGAATTTTCATTGCGAGTGTTGAGTTCTTTATTAGAAGAAAGTTGCGGCGACAAATAAAGTCATCATTGTAAATTAAGGCGGACAGTTTGAATTTGAAAATGTTAGTTGCCTTAGTCAAATACAACAAAAACACGTCGAACAATGAAACAAGCAAAACCACTACATCGGAAAAAAGAACTTACACAGAAGAGAGGAAGGGGCAGGGGGTAATGGTGAGGAATTTGCGCATCCCGACATTTTGGCAAGCAGAGCAGTTAACTCAGCCTGCGGTAGCTTGCAGCCTCATCCCTTCAAAAGGGAGAATTTTGTCAATCTGAAATCTTCACGAAGACCAAATTCTTTGGGGTTGAAAAAGCCTGTCAGTTGGCGAGTTGTCATCTTAATTACAGTTGTGGGTCGATCTGTCAACAAAGATCATACCGTCGAAAAAGTCAAATGTTGTTTTTTGGAGGAAAAATACATAACAACGATCAACAAAAGCGGAGTTATTCATTAACCGTGTTGCCACAAATCAGGAAACCAATGTCTCCGGTTAACGAACAAAAATGACGGCAAAGGTAGGACTCAAAGTAACATAGTTCGCAGCTCATAACCGTTTATTATAACGTGTACTACTTCGTGAATTAAATTCTGGAATAGAAATTTATGATATTTTACACCATTAAAATATATAACAGTTATAATTAATCAAAAACATGTAAAACACTTTTAAATCAAAGGATGACCATTTGGTCATACTATTAACCAGAAATTGAAGTATCAACTCACAAGAGAATAACAAGCGGGGAAGCAAGGGTACAAATCTGCACCCAAACGCAAGATTAAAACCTGGCGCCATAAACTCAAAATCCCAAGAGCATTGGCTAGTACACTTAAGCCCAATTGCGTTGATGCACATAAACATTGATGTTTTCGCTCGAAAATTCATTTAATTCAGAAATAAAGCCGCACATTACTTTGTCTAGCTAATAACATATAAATGCAAATAATATCTTCAAATGTCAATACGACGGAATGCAAACTTCATAAATAGAGAAACGAAATACTAAAATAAAGGAAAAGAGACAATAGCAATAAAAAAAATAAAAGTAAAGGTATCGACTTGTAATGTTTGACACACAGGTTATACTTTACTTCAGTAAAATTGACTTTTTGGGACTTTCTGGAATTAATCATTCGAAAAACCAAAAATGAATTTAAATTGAAAACACGTTTATAATTCAATTCAGTAGTAATTGCTTCGGTAGAATAAAAGCTATTGCCGCGTGACTCAAGCCCTGTTTATAATAGATATGACAGTTATTAAATGCAGGGAAAAAATGCAATACGATGAGGAAGTTCCAAAATCAAATATAGGTAGCTGAAATCGACTGGCTTTATGTTTACTTACATTTCTGTGGAAATTCGCGGGGTTTCTCGATTAGTTTTCACGTCTGCGTGCTGAACGACTTCATGTTTCCTGCATATTGGAAGGTATCATCGATTGTAACACTAATTTTCCGCTGAATTTGCCGCAGTGTTTTTCATAGTGCTTGGTTTTGTTAAATTTGAAATAAAGGGAGTTAACGGACAAGACGGCAGTCTAGTTAGCACTGTCTCAGGTTTGTCATCGTGAAATTGTATAAATTCCTTTGGCCGTCAAAATGTGGTGTTTTTAACCAAGTTTTGGTTGATTGAAGAGTTAATGGGAATTTGATATTTCAACAGGGAAAATGTTGTCACATGTATAAATCGACTTGTAATATTGCTCTTTCCAACAAAAATTCAAACGTTTTTAGACGGAACCATTGGTTTGTAATGGACTTCACACAAGAATAATTCAAGTACATTAATTAAAACAATTCCATTTAGGGCAAAATATATATGTACAAAAATTGCTAACTACTTGATCACCCTTCAAGAATAATCTAAAATTTGGTAAACAGTTACTTATATTCGACTTACATATTGCCGAAGAAGAAATTTAGGTACGAAAATTTCAACAATTCCGGTTCATTTCAGTTCTATAGACACGCCAATTATTTTCGAAAATCTACCTAGGAAATTCTGTAGTAATAATCTTAGCTTAGCGTCTGTTATTACTTGCTGAACTTCAATAAAGCAAAATTTGATTGCTTTTGTGTCCATTCGGTTGTTGATGCCAGAAATATGTACGTTTTGCTTATTTTCTTGGTAAATATTAAGTGGCACTCAACGAGATATACTAAAGAGAACCAATAAATTAATACTAACCTGATGGATTTTACGGGATTTTTAATAGCCAAGGCCTTGATCGTGGGTTTGGGTTTGCTTAAATACTCCCATCCTAATCATCTACGACGGTCTAAAGTTTCGTCTCGGCTTCTTAAAGCACTAACTGCAACTTGTAAGATAAAGCTAACTAAGAATCTTGGCATTATTTAATGTTTATTTGTCTACAAAACTTTGGCCCTCATGACAGAACACGAGATAAACTCATCTTGTTCATGCGTCATGAGCAACTGGTTGGCGATCAATGGATATCCACCTTATGCAGTAGGCCCAAGATAGCTACTATGTACAAAGCCACTACAGCAAATGTTGACAGGAAATATAAGCATCCATGTTTGACATACCCAGCCAAACTCACGGGTCATGTAAATTAGTGGTTCACTATTAATTCGCGTTCGTCAGTCTGGTCGCCGCAGACTTCGACCTAATTCCCCTTTTCGCAGCATGCCGTGGGTGAACCTCACCTCACACCGAATTAACACTGACGTTTATCTTATTTATGACTTAAGCTGATTCACACGTTGTGAATCGTGTTTATTCACATCTCTTAATCCGATCGCATCGCCTCCAAAACAAGGCTCCCCTTCTCGCAGCATGGCGCCAGCTGCGCAAATCCTCAAATCCCCCCTTCATTCACACGCATATGTATCTTGGATTAACCTCACACCTAGGTCTCGATGTTAGCACACCTATGACTCACGCATCCGAGGTATAAATGCGCACTCGCAAACCCTACACACGACACAACGACACCAGGTTCAGTTAAGCTCTGAAGTATACGGTTGTGTCCTGTCCTCTCCAGACTTTTCCTTCATCGCGGGCATCAGGCAAGCGTAATCGAATCAGGGTTAATTCCGTGGCTCTGGCGCGGTTCAAGACCACATGCTGGGGCCCACAACACACATTTCTGAGCTATTAATATCCACACGCAATACACAATAACACAAGCTTAACTGAGCAATCAATTAAACAATGTTATTTGTGCTATCTCCATTCTTAATCTTCGCCGGTATCAAGGTGACGTATTCGAACATCGGCATGGTTTTGGGTTCCATGCGAAGGTCCACAACACCACTGACAAAGGCCATCTTTTGATCACTCGTTCCAAGTAGAAGTAGTCACTAACGATCACGGTGAATGGAAGCTGCCTTTTTATCTTTTAAAGAAACCACAATTTCCCAGGATAGCATAATACAGAATACCGAGATTCGCGACAGTTCTCCTAACTGTACTCTACTTTCACGTTTATTTTAATGACAGCATCTTAAAGAAAATATCACTTACGCCACACCACATTGAGCTTGCTCAACAGGCAATAATGGCGCAACCTGAAACATACCTTAATAATTGTCATTTATTCTAGTCTTTTGGCCGAGATAACGTGAGATTTTGCAGTGGCTAGAGTTTCAGCACTACCTTACAACCCTATAGTTAACATCCTGTAACAATTCCAGAATGGAGTGAAGTGAGGCGACAGAGGGCACAAGCGTTTATTAGCGTCACGCCAGCCAAGTGTGTCGTGGTGTGTGGATGAGTGAACGGATGACAGTTATCTAGTTGCAGCCACCAATGTAAAGAGGATGAGTCATTGTCACCGTCAGGTCAGTAAACTGGGTTCACTCAGGCGCGATCGGTGTTAATTCGCTGCAGTCTTGCCCTTTTTGCAGGGAAGGTAGGGATTCAAACTATTGTAATAGAATCGTGAATTCTCATAGTGAACGCTGGTTTCTGCTACGGTAAAACTCTAAAACCACTTTAATTTAGAAATGCGGATCACTTTTCTAAAACAAAAAGGCATATTTTCTTTATAATAAATCATTCGTATGATTAAGTAAAAAAATCAGAACTTTTCATTGCATACGGTTAGACTTAGGGGGGCTGTGGTCCACTCTCTGGAGCCTTTAATTCTAATGCGAAATCCAGGAAAACCAAAGAAATATATAAACTACAAAGGCAACGGTACAAGGAATGTTAAAATGTTCACTCTTTTTTAGGTAGTCGTCGGTGGACTCACAAAAAACTTAGGGGCATAAGAGTTTGTTACTCGAATTGTACAAAATCGGGCGAGCATAATACAGTATGCGAAGAATACTAAGAACGACTGTAGGTTTTATTGCATTAGATACTTGGTATTTAGAGATCAAAAAAATCCATGTATTGAAAGGAGTATATGTTATATGTAAAATTACACTGAACAATCCATGTGGTTAATTTATGCATACAATAATGTGACTAACCGGTGTAACGGCGTTAGGATACTTCGGAGGATCCAGTATACATGAGATTTACACATAAAATTTAAATTCGCCCTAATTTTTCGGAAACGTGTGCATTACACGTTTAAAATAGCTTATTTTGCGTGCACTTCCAAGGAATCAACATGGTACGCGGTTAAAGTCGCTAGCAATATTTTGACTGTTTACATAAATTTTAATGAATTCATAAAGTAATATAACAAATCACTGATTGCATGCGTGTTGTCCTCGTTGTCACTGAAATATGTTTTTTGTAGTAATTTTAATATTTCAAGTTCCGAATGTCGGTACCTATGCCAGTCTTGATACGTTCTTTCTAATAACATATTTGGTAGCTTGTCAAGGTCCTTTAAATTGCCCGCGATCTCCTAGCCCACCTGTCTTTGTCAGATTAGCCTGAATCTTTTCACTGACTTGTAAGTTTTTATTATTCTGGGTTATCCCTTTTTTTTCGTAAGCGTCGTTTGAGTTTATTTTTCCTCTGAGGTTAGGGTTAATCAGGCTTTACATGGTCTTGTTTTTCCATTTACTAAGCATGAAATTGGCTGGGTTCTGTACAAAGTCGGAGCGATCGTAAACAGTGTGGGTTTTAGAATCTAGACAATGTTTTCAAATATCCCGTAGTATTTTATTGTAAATTATTTGCAGGTTTTAATATGGCATATTGATATTTTTGGAGGATTTTATAATATCGTTTTTGATGACAGTTTTGGCCTTTGACGAGACAGTGCCTTTTTTGGTGCCTATGTCCCCTGTAGATCTGATAATTGTTGCAAAACATTTACCATTTTTTATACACATGTATTTTGTAATGCTTTTGAAGTGGCGAGGCACTTTATTTTAATGTTAATTAATGACATTTGTTTTGTTCATATATAAAATTTTCTGATCTTTTCGTTTTACGCAATTGATGTTTTCTTTATTTCACGACCGCATTCACAATTCCCTCGTTTACTTGACTTCTTTTTTCAAATTCCGATTGAAGCCAAAATGTGTAATTTGATGGGTTTTTTCCATCCTTTTCTTTAGTAAACAATTATCTACGCGAGTAACGAAAATGTCTGTTCTTCACGACGAGGTTGAAATCGAAGACATGGAGTACGATGAAGAGGAAGAACTTTACACCTATCCCTGTCCCTGTGGCGATCGGTTTGAAATAACCAAAGTACTGCCCAAAATTATGTAGTTCATTTACTTCATAGGCTGACTTGGAGATGGGTGAGGACATTGCGCGTTGCCCAAGTTGTTCCCTTATCATCCGAGTTATCTACGACCTTGTAAGTGTTAATTAGCGCCTCAATCTCCTCTTTTACTAGGATACTTTTCTTCAACGGGTTGAACCGGAGAAGGATTCCAGTGTTGTATGCAAATGAAATTGTTTGTGGCGGAGTATTTTTTTATCCGGACGGTTTCTTGTACTGCTGTGACACTTTAAAGGCATAGGTTCGCATTATGTCAGATTTCTGTATAAAATTATCTTCAATAAATCATGGAAAAATTAAGTGTTTAGACTTTTTTCTGTAAATAATTTAGTTGTATATTTAATTTACTTTCTCTTTGTTGCAGGCCCAGCCCAGCGAACCCGGGAAAAATGGCGTCTATCTTAGTGAAAAAAGACGAACTTGATCTCATTCGATCCATCTTCACAGCGGATGAATTAACTTTTAGCAATCCGGTTGTAATTAATGAGTTTGATAGTGCGGCCTGCCGCGGTCTTCCAGATGATGACAAACCGATCCAACTAACTCTCAGGTTGGCATTTCCAGAGGTTGGTGCTTTGAAATTCGGTATCATTGTCCCCTTTTTGTAAGTATTAAATACTAGTATTTTTTACTCCCCGTTACGAAAGCTCACTATTTTTTAGTCACGAGTAATTAACTGGGCTAATTTTTAGTTTCTAATTGGGGCTTTTCCACACCCGCACACATTGCAAAGTTTGTAACTTTGTGACATTTATTTGTCGAATCGGTTAAAAGGCAACCTCCTCTAAAAAGACTTCACTGTGTCGTCGGTCCCCCCACACCTACCCAATTTTCTTTTAAAGTTTTAAAACTTCCCAATGAGTGTATTATAGCCTGATGACGGTCCTCGACTTAATTACACACGCAGTCACTTTATAGATAATCGTCGTTCAACGTTGTAGTTTTTTCCCGAACTCCCGTGTCAACGTGAATACGCTATTAGACCATCGTCACCCAATCTGGCTTTGATAGGCCGAATTGCACCAGTCCTATATCCCACATGTCGCCTCGTTTTTTTTCAAGCCACCATGTATCGAATCCTCGACTTCGTAAAGATTCCAGATTGAGTGGTCATATGTGGAATTTAAGTCGCCAATAATCAATGAGATTGATATCTCCGACGTGTAATCCATTAACTATCGGGATCTAGTTCGCTTTACGTATAAATAATCGATGCCTGAGAGCGCCAAGAAACCTCTTCTTTGTGTTACGCAACCAAAGTTCCACTTCCTCTGCCGAGTTAAGCTATCCACCCTCTTTGGACTTTGAATCCATTGGAAGCAAATCCGTCGCGTCACTCATCACGCTCCATCCCGTCAGAATTCCTTGTGTATCTGCTGCGCCTTTGCTTTACAAGTCATCTGCCAGAAGCACTCATTTTGCGGGACAGTCAGATCGAAAAAGGTGCTTTGTCTGAAAGTGCAGCAAACCTCAAAAACCCCCTCCAATCTGCTCCAATGTCTCCACCTAATGACAGTATCTCCCACTAATATCAACTGGTTTTTTATTGCTATTTAAAAGCACGCTACAGCAAAATTTTTATGCTTGCCGTAACGTCCTTCACTGCAATGGCTCCCGGGCTTTCTGGCGTCATTTGGTAGATAGTTGTCCCTTCGATGATTTGTGATTGATGGGTGCAAAAGGAATACAAACAAATTTCAACGATTGCCCCCTCTCTTTTTTACAGTTACTGCCGGATATTGCTATTCTCAGATCCGTGACACAGAAGCCGTTCCCATTTATTGTCTGTATTTGCGTGTGACAAACCCCCAATGTGCGCGTGTGAAATTTCAAAAATGTGGCAGTCTTTCAATCCACGTGACACATCGCCCCAAATGGCAGGTTTCACCCCACGAAACGGGTAATTAGCAACAAGTCGATCGTATGCCACCTTAATAGACCCCACCATTCGCATGGTCTTTCACGTTTCACCTAATCCGATTATTCCATGAAACGAACTTTTGTTGTGGTATTCCACAACCCTCAGTCGTTGGCCTTGTTGATCGTTTGTCTAATTACGGGCGCCTATTCTTGGTGTTAACTGCTATTATTTTCTCCAAGGCACATGACCTTCACGTGCTGTCACCGGTGATTAACATATTTTTTGCAAAAAGGCACCACGCATTGTAGCTCTTCCAGTCCTGTAGGAAAGTTGCTTGTACAAACTACCTGACTCCGCAATCCCTAGACATCTCCACATGATTGGATGTCTTGCAGAAACTCCGTGCAAAGGTTTTTAAGTGCGTTGGGTTGATGTCAACGTTGGATCGTTTGCATGAAAAATAACTGGTTTTTATGCCGTCATTTCGTTTCTGGGTAATTGTGGCCTCCTTACAATTTAAGAAGGACTGGTAACCACTTTCAACCAATTAAGCTGCGCACATTTTCAAAGGCTTCTTCAAGGTTGTCTGTGAACGAGTATATCACAAAATCGCATCCGATCTCTTGGCAAGCGTCTAATAAAACACCGAAGTGTATTAGAAGTTGGGTTTTGGTTTAATCAAAGTGAAAAGCATAAAGATTCGGCACATTCTTTTTGGGCTTGTGAAGATTTCATGCGGGTATGTACCTATGATGCTACGCTTATGGGGTTGCGAAATATACACGACTTCAAGTCCGTCTCATCGATTCATCAAATTCATTAAGTCAATGTGAGTATCGAAAGAAGGCCCTCACTGTGTAAATTTTTCTCGATTTTGAATGGTTTCAGTTACTCGTCGATGTTAACTTGACAATTGACCTTCCCGTTGGTTACCCCGTGGTAGCTCCGTCAATGCTGTTACGTTTGAAGCAATCCCAACCAACTGTGAATGAAAAGTCGCTCAACAGTGCGTTTCATGGTTGGCTTTCTGAAGCCATCATCGCGGGTGAGCCGATCATTTGTTCTGCCGTTGACTGGCTGCGGAGTGCGCTCAACGACAACACCGAAGCCTACGTCAGACACGCGCCCAACGACAGCACGAAATGTGGCGACGTTGAGGTTCAACCCACCCAATCGCCTGAGATCTGCTACTGGATCTTCTCGCACCACATCCGGAATCCAAAAAAACGGAAAGTTATCGTCGATTGGGCTAGAGAACTCTACCTGACGGGTTGCTGTCTTCCGGGTAAACCAGGAATAGTTGTTGCCGAGGGAGCCAGTGATAAAGTGAGTTGCGTTTTCTATTTACAAAGTCGTGTTAATATCTGTTTTGTGTGTATGACCAAGTCACTACGATGTGTACTTCTTCCTTAGGTTGAAGAATACTGGAAGCGCATTAGGGTCCTCACGTGGAAGCGAATTCAGGTTAAGGATCGTGAGGCCATTGAAAAGCGTCGTTTCACTGATGGTTTTTTTGAAGTAGGTGGTAAATTAGCCGACAAGATCCAGTATATGCGGGATCATGGTGTGTCTCAAGAACGAATAGCTGCACATTTTGGATTCAAAGTGGACGAAACCGAAAACATGTAGCCCTCTTTTGATGCTTCCAACTAGACGTTATTTGTATTACAAAGTTATGTTTTATTGCATAAAAGCAAAAGGTGATAAAATAAAAATACCGAAGAAAAAAGTAAGTCAAATTAAAGAATATTATCAGGAAAATGTGGCTTTTGGTTGGGGGTACGCAGCACTGCCTCTATTTCTTCTTCTTTCCTTTAGGCCACCCATAATTTCGGTATTCAAGAGCTTGCGGAGCGTTGTGAGCTATTAGGTCTAGGTTCTCCATTGCTGGCGGATCGAGAACATCGGGTGGCGGCTTGGTTGGGGCTGCTGGTGGAGGCGAGGCAGTAGTCCCCTTTTTGGCGCCACCTTTTTCCTTTAAATAAAAGTATACACTTCCAATTCTAGCAATATGAGTCTTTTTTGTGAAAAGATACGAAAACGTAGATGTTGGATGCTACATAATTATTGCGCGTCAAAGCGGTATAATGTAGTTCATTCCTTCAATAATTTGCAAGGTTCAACTTATATATAAGTGAAAAAGATGCTAAATTACTGGATTAAAAGGGTCGCCTTCAGATAACAAGCGGTGGTCCAGTTAAGGATTATACAATTAATGTTTGTAAATCTGGTAGGTCCTTAAAAAACTGAGTGCATTAACCGCAACCACGGAACTTGGATTGGCTTTTTAAAAAGCTATCTGACAGTAAACGTCACTTAAACATTTTTTCCTGGTAAAGTATTACATTGTTTTCTCTTGCTGGCAAGGAGAATAAGAAATCTTCCGGCTGGTTCTCCCACAATGTCAAAGGAAATGATTATTTAAGCAATCATATTTGCTAGGTGAGAAGCCAGGACGCACACAAATTCTGAGCTCGACTGCTTCTGGACAAACATTAGTTTTAACAGAAATCTTAAACAAAGTCAGGAAAGTTTATGACTGAGGAACTTTCTATTAGGCTATATCTACAGGCAACAGACTAAAGCTTTAACGGAAAACGTGGTTGCAAACTATGTGGAACAAAGTACATGGTAATTATTTTTAATGGAAAAAATTTGTAACATATTGTAGAGTTCCATAAGTATTGCATATTAAAAAGGAAAGTTATAATCGACAAATTATTCATCTTAAATCGTGCAAGGACAGGACGCGCCGTGTAACCATAGCGAGGCGTGGATTGATGCGTAAAACAAGTCTTATCTCTTAAAAGTTTGTTTTTCTTTGACAGAGTTTTTGCAGTAACTACTAGGAAGGAACACTAGATACACATGTGTGTAATCTTCTATTAAATATCCAATATTTAAACTCAACTTTATTATGCAACATTTAAAACTTGTTTTAATTTATCAACAGTTAATGTTTGCGTAAAACTCGTGTTACAATATAATCTGGTGTCTTTTGACAAAGATGACTTTTTAGTAAACTGTTATAATCTAAATAGGTCTCTTTATGTTATCGAAATAAACAATCGAGTCCAATGCGCTTACAAAATGCAAACACTGAAAAATTAACTCCGATTTATGTTTTAAGCATGTCCACGAGGGCTTGAAGAATAATTTGCCAGTCAATGATATATTATGCAAATTAATAAAAATATTACATTATTATTTTATATACCGACCAAAGTCCTGAACGCCAGATAAAAATAAACCAATGAAATCTGGTAAAATCAGTGCTCCCAAAATATGAAAAAAAACAAGTATATTTAATACAAGAAGAACGTCCAATGATCTACTTCACTAGACACGCATACAGACGCAGCAATTAAATACAAATTAATTTTAAAAAGTTTTGGTATAAATGCATTATTCAGTCATTCCAAAGATTTACTTTGTTGCCAAACTTGAATACATGTTGGAACGGGTCAGCAAGGTGCCAATCGGTCGCAGTATATTAAAGATTATAACAACAGATTTAATTAAGTACTTTACTTTTCTTTAAATAGCAATTTGCTAGCGTTTGCTGGTTTGTAAGAACAGCAACATAAACAACAGTGAGGAGAGATTAGTCATGAAAAGTGTGTGCCTCAGTCATCTCTAATGTTTCTGAAACATTCAGGTGTCTTTCAAGTCCCTACATAGCTACGTGCTTATTGTGAAAACTTTATTGAGAAACGTTTGGATGCTAAACTAATTAGAGTCTATTGAATGGTCCTTTTATTTTACCATAAAATAAGTCATCATTTAAATCTTGTCATTGTCATGTATTAAAATTTTACCTATAATTGTTAATATATTTAGAGATTCAGATTTAATAACACAGTTAGCAAGATTAGAACATTTAGTAGCCAATTTCGTTTATATAAGCTTAAATATATATTTTCGATACCAACGTATGCTTACATGAAAACCACAAGGTATAAATTTTATGCAGGCCTGAACCTTGATTGAGGCTAAAATATACTTCTTGACTTTGAGGTATTGTTTAACTTGCTAATTAAAATGCAGAAATATACCAAAATCTAAAATTCCGTCAATTGGAAGCCCGTTACTAGGTTCATACTACCAACTCGGTTTAGCATTCTTTTGACAGAATGAACGCATTGCAAGCTGCAACCAACCCTTAAATTAACAAAAAGTAGGTGTAGTTCTGCTGGTATCTCTAACTGTCGCTTTTAGTGTACGTAAATGTCGTACAGTTTGAAATTAAACGGATGCATTCGGTAAAAATTTCTATTCTGATCACCAAGTTTAATGCCAGCGTTTCAAATTGACTGGTGTACACGATGGTGAAAAGTAATGAGTTATAATTTAATTGGGTTAGTTCAAAACATCTAAAGAGTTAGAGGACATTAAAAAAGGAAAAAAACGTGAGTTGGTTAGAAGAGGAATTGCTGACTAGAGCGATGTTCCTTTTCTGAATGCTCAGTATACTTTGTGTTCAATGATTCACTTACTTCACTTTTAGAGCTCAGTGCTACTTCTGAAAAAGCAGTTTTTTTAGTCACTTCAAAATTCAATTTTCAAAAATGCTTGATTAACTGTATTAGCATGTTTTGTTTTGTCAAGGAAATATCCTTTTAGACGCCTTCTGTGTCAAAGATAAGGGTGTACAAGCATGAAGGACTTTACAAACAACCCTAAGTACAATATTGGCTATCCTCAATAAGAGCTGGCGTTAATCTAATTGAGGCTTCCTTAAAATTGTGGAAAAATGTATTTTTGGTTTATTCAAATCGCTAAATATGTGTGTGTTTAAGCCATTGTTGTCAGTTCAAAAGCATCCTGTTAACACTAATCCGCGTACATCCATAATCAACATTTCTTCAAGACGACATATTTGTGAACAAGTAAAACAATTCTAACATAGATTTTACACTGCTCGCATTAATATATTTATAGATAAAAGTACAAATCTAAATTTCTAAAATGAAAATCAAAACCCCTTTTACGAAGAACAAATTAATGTTGCACAATTTTATAATTTATCTCACCGTGTTCCCAAGCTGCAGTTTATTTTTGGCAGAAGAAAGATTATAAAAAGTTTATTGCTGTATGCAATAGATAAAAAAATGCTCATTACTCTTGGAAATTAGGTAATCAAATCATTATTTGTCTTATAAGGATGTTAAATAGTTGCAACAATGCTATTTTGATGCATTTGATTTTGCTTAGGTGGATCTTATCTCTAGAATTAGTACCTCTCAAAAATATATGAGTACATCGGTCAAATTTAAAGAGACATCTGGGATAAATAATTCGTGTTTATCTCTGAAAACAACACACATTGCATGCGTATTATGACAAATAAGTAATTGAACTAATGTAAATTATCGAACTGATTTGATGTCGAGGACATGAAGATGCTCCATGGGCACTTAAGAGTGTTGGTTCAATTACACATATTCAATGTCAGCTTTACATCAGACAACATGTAAATCTAATAACATGTAATTTTCTCATGCAGGTATCATTTAAAAATTCAGGAAACCTCAATAATAAAAATTTGAATTTTCCTAAACAATGTTTCATTGAACACATTAGCAATATGTGTGCCTTGACGAAACCATCCGTGCATCTGCTTCCTAATTAGATATTTTATGGAGAATTTACAAAACATAATCTTCACGAAATACTACAGCAACATTTGAAAATATATGGTGCTCATTATCAAACAATATGCACACAACGTAATTGCATCTTATCATATAGATGACCTAAATTTGACTTAATAGAGTTTTCTCATCAACTTATTCTGGGAAAGTGTATTACTATTCATATTACTGAGGACGCTCCTGAAAAATGGTCATATTGAGATGACATTGACTCGAAATTGGTGCAAAGAATATTTAGAGAGGGCTTTTAATTTTCGTTACAGTGGAACCACCAGGCAAACGATCATTTGCAGACATAGCGTTTACTCCATTATTTAAGTTGTGCGTTCGGTAGCTTAAGTGCTTAATAATAATAAACTTGTATCAAATTTATTAAGAATAATCTTTGTGGGAATCTAATCAACAGAACAAGAATTTTAGTACAAAACGCATTCAGCTTTTCATGAAAGATACTTCACTGTTTCATTATAACATGCTACTAAATAACTTTTTGCAGCACACTGTAAAATTAGGTAATCAAGTAGCTTTTTTTCAAAATAAATAAAAACATGTTTTTGGGTTTGATAATTATAATGAAGCAACAACAATGACATTTTTTAATCGTCTAATTTGAACACACATGCTCTCTTTTCTAGCCGCCCTTAACAAATTTTTTGGGTTTGCGAGTATTTTTTGTCTTTGTGGTTATGTGTTTGGGTAAACAGGTTAGCAAATTTCTTGGTTTTACTCTACTGCTTTTTAGGACCCTACAAGATCAAATGTGCGTTTTAAAGATCAGAACTTAATCCGTAATTCTTTTCTAAATTTCGAACAAATTCGACGTAAAGGAAAACTCTGTGATGTCACGCTTATAGTAACTTACTTTGACCTATTAACATGCTGGTAGGCTGAACAACAAAAGTTTTCAGCACACAAAATAGTGTTGGCCGCGACAATTCCTTTTTTTGACGCCATGTTTCTGAGTGGCATGAGTGAAGCTTCTAAACGTGAAATTAGCATAAAAGGAATTGATCCAGCGTAATTGTTCTGTTTTTAAACATGCGTTTAGTGCACTTGAAGCATTTATAACATTCGCGTACACCGGTGAAATTCAAATTACACCAGCTAATGTTCAGGCAACTCTTATCGGCGCCAGTTTTCTGCACATTGATAGCGTGCGAAATTTCTGCTGTCGTTATATTGAGGAAAGGTATGTTCTCAAGTCTTCATTTCATGATGATTTTTTTCAAGTCAAAGTGTTTATCTCATTAGACTTTTTTTTATTAAAGCAGGCTTTACGTAAAGTTGACAATAAATGTTTTTCCACATCTTAACTAAGCGACTTTAGTCTCCTGTTAGCCCAGTCAGCACTTCTCCCCGTGGTAATAAATCGATTTTTAGTTACCGATGATGTTCTCTTTATTTTGTTCATATTTATGCCTTATGAGAAGTAGTTAAATATATTTTCGTCAGTCCCTCCACTTTGTTTTGCGTCCCTTCATAATCCTACTCTACATTGCAAGTTGTCCTCTTTCAGATTTTCTTAGATGCATTAAAGAATTTACACTAAAGTGTCTTTGTGTGTGGGAATTTCTTTTTCAATTCCTCATCGCCAATATGTTAATCAAATATTCCTCCAAACGTGTGGCTGTTTGCTTGTCATCCGAATTCCTCGTTCTTGTACACGAATCACATGTAAACCCCCCATTCGTGGTGAAACCTAATAAAACCCTGCAAAATCTCATGAAGTTGATAGAGGCCAACATGTAATTTTCATTTTACTTCTATTTTGTGCGGACAATCCCATTCACTTTTTAAAAACTCACATATTCGGTTGTCTTATTCCTATGTTTGTCGATTACACAAGTTAGTTTGTCTGGTTGTCTAACCCAAATGTAGCTTATGCACTTTCTTGGCGCTTACACACTGTCCTAAATCACTGCCAAAGTATGGGAATCCTCTAAACTATCACGAATTCTTGAATGCTTCCCACATTTTTATGCCTTATCTCATGGTCATCAACATTTTCGCAAAGATATTACGGCTTGAAATGTCCCGTATAAATCAGGACTAATCTCTAACAGCCGGCGCATTTGTAAAATTTCAGGCTGAGTTTTTCGTCTTAGGGGTTCTTCCTGTATTATTCAGCTAAACGGTTTGAAGAATGATGCATCACGAAGTCCCTGGAGAAGGAAGAGACGGAGACTTAAAAGTTTATTTGACCTACTAACAAGCTTGCCGACGTGCACACCAATAACATGGCCGATGGTGATCGTTGACCAATTAATGTCGGGTAAATTGATAAACACACAAGTGTCTGGATGATAAGAGTGACATGGGGGCGTGATCAGACGTATGCGCCGAGACGGAAAGATCTAGTTGAAGCGTGTAAAAGGTGATTAACGTGGGTATCTGAATGATAATGATTCAATTCGCTGCGCTCATATTACTAAAATGGCCACCTACCTAAACACTTATTTTAATTAAGTACTATCGTGCCTCGCTACTTGCTTTTTAGACTCTCTCTGGAAAATCTTCTGCAAGTTCGCAACTTTGCAACAAGCTTTCTCTGTTCAAACCTCGTATCAGCCTGCGACAAGATCATCCACGAGAACTTCGAGGTACTTGCAGACTCGCCAGTGTTCTATTCTCTCAGCGGTTCTGAACTCTGCAAACTCCTCGAAAGTGACGACCTACAAGTTAGCAGCGAAGAAAAAGTCTTTCATTCCATCATCGCCTGGTGTGAGCACCCACCAAGTGACGCTGACGCAGAAACTGGCATTTTGGGTAGCCCCAAGTTGAGCCGCTCTCTACAATCCCTCGCTAGCTCTGGCACCTCCAAGGATGTGGTGACTGGCAAATTTGGGTCCTGCGATCATGCCAATCCTCGTTTGAAGTTCCTCCCTGATCTGCTTGCACGCGTTCGCCTACCATTCCTCTCCGCGCAGTTCATCCGCGACGTCGTCTCAAAGAACGCCCACATCCGAGCGGACATTCAGTGTAGGGACTTGCTCGACGAAGCCCGCGACCTCCTTTTGCTGCCAAATTCAGTACCCCCGGAGTCCTGCTCGTTCGCCTGTCGACCGCGGCGTGGGCAGGAGGTGGCAGGCATAATTTATGCCGTTGGAGGCTATTCAGCTGACGGGGATTGTCAAAGCATCGTGGAGGCCTACCACCCACTCATCGACCGGTGGGAGGTTGTTGAAAGCATGTCCACAGAAAGAAGCCGAATAGCCGTTGTTGCACTTAAAGGTACACTCAAGCTGCTACCTCCATTATCCTTCGGTTTATCACAGAACTTTTCGTTTTCGGAGTATACTGCTGGCGGAGCGATTACTACTTGTGCTGATGCTAACTGAATGCCTAATAAGCCTACAGCCACACTGTTCATAACATCCACTTCATGCCAAAACTTTTTTGTAATTCGTCGCACCCCACATTACCAATAATATTGACCTTGGCGACTTGTAGTAAGGCCGACTAGTGGCTCGTCAAGTTATAGTAAGGTTTCGCAAATTAACCATTAGGGTTTATTGCTGTGCTCTTCGGCCGCCTGGTCGTTATTGGTCTCACAATAATTCCGTCTCATTTATAACTTTCTTTGTTGTAAGTGCGCTATTTATCCCAGATTGTAGTTTTTTTGTTTTTACTGAGTGCCTCACTCCTCCACTAACCAAGTTGGTTCAAATGCAAACCAGGCAATTACGGTGCCTTCAAGTGGTCTAATTATTGTCTCTGAATATCACGACCGAGATTATCTTTTGACGTAGCCTTTCACACTTCCCACTTCGAGATCACTCGCCGAAACAGCTGACGTAATTGCTGGTGTCGCGTCCTTAGGGATTTGAGTCGACCCCTTCAGTTTCCCTCTTCTGGACGTTCACTATGTGTGTTTGCTTGCATTTCCTTCCCTAGGTTGTCTTTACGCAATAGGTGGTCTAGACGGAAGCTCGCGGCTGAACACGGTGGAGAAGTTTGACCCCAAGACCGGTGTGTGGCAGAAAGTGGCTTCCATGAACTACCGCAGAAGTGCCCTGGGCGCAGCCGTCCTAAACGGTCGGATCTACGTGTGTGGCGGCTACGACGGTGTGTCATCCCTCCGCACCTGTGAAGTCTACAACCCCGACCAAAATCGGTGTGTGCTTGAATCTCTTGCCCACCAGCCCAATCTTGCACAGCTGCACTAATCGATGCTCACACTGCTCCTCTCAGGTGGCAAGTCATTCCAAGCATGACGGAGTGTCGCTCGGCAGGCGGAGTGGTAGCACTTGAAGACGGACGCCTATTCGCCATCGGCGGACACAACGGCCTGCCGATTTTCGACTCGGTGGAGTGCTACCACCGCCGTGGACACCACACAGTCGCGCCCTCAGACACCTCGACCGTCTCCCCCGTCACGTGGTCGTGGGGCCGGGTGTGGCGCCAGGTGGCTCCGATGCTGCACCGACGCTGTCGTCACGGCGTCGCCGTCCTCCGTGGACGCATCTTCGCCGCCGGCGGCTACAACGGCTGCTACTTTCTGCGCTCCGTGGAGGTGTACGAGCCGGCGCCGCCTGTGCACTCGGATACCGGTCTTGGCCAGTGGAGCGAAGTCGCAGGCATGGCTAATCCACGATCTCGTGTCTCTCTGGCTGCGTCTGGCGGTCGTCTCTACGCTATCGGTACGCCTCCCTTAAAGCTTTCTCTCATTTCACATCCGTAGTCTGCGTTTCACTACCTTCATGGCAAAAGGTCGTCGTTTTTTGTTCAGCATTCAGGCTAAATCCAAGAACCCACGCCCACAAAGTCCACTATCAATTGAACAGACCTGACACGTACACTGGAGTGTTTTCTTGATGTGAGTGGGTTAGTTGTGCCACCCAAAACTCTGGGTTCAATAACCGAAGCACCATAGTCGATTTGCCCCATCAACAGAGACTTCACTGTTGTAACCCTGGTAACCTCGAATTCAGGTCAGTAATGTTGCCTTGTTCGGAGACGTTGCGCCAGTTGGGTGTTCTTATTGCAATTGCTCAAAGACTTTGAGTGTGCAGTTGTAAACCGTGCGACCAATGTCGTCGGATGAGGTACCACATTAGTGCCAACACTTCTGTGTGCCACCAAAACTTGTCTGTAATTACTTTAAGTTAGTAGGTTTCAAAACCAGTCATTTCTGGAAGGCTTGGTGAATTTGTTGGTGAAGTTGAGACGCGCTACACAAACTGTTGCACTAATTAATGATAAAGCCCTTGGTGTTTTGAGTCAAGTATAGACGTAAAGTGGATGGCATTTCGAAGTTGTTTGCACCAGAATAACCGCTGTTACTGCCCACATCGAAACCCATTTTGTTCTCGATCTGGCTGGATTCACAGGAATCATCCAATCATGGCTGTGGGTTGCTCGATAGACAGGAAATCGCTTGCCTTCGAGGGCCTTCAGGGCCGGTTAACCGAAGCAGTATCATTTCGTCGACAAGGTGTGACACAATCTCGTGTCTTACCCTATCGCTTCCACAAAGGCTCCAGAGCCACCGAGACTCGCGACAAGATTCGTGGATGCCTGAGCCCCATTCCGTTCTGGAGATTTTTCGCTCAAATTCAACTCACCAATGTTGACGACGAGTTGTCGTGAGTGTCGCGTAAAGTGTCTTTGACACGTTCAGAAGCTCAAACTTCGAATCGGGGCTTTGCGAAATGCTTCTTGGAGGGCAGCACAATCGCCTCACGCTTTCCTAAAACGAATCGTAGTTGATGTTGAAAATGCATCGTCTGCAATGACGATGCAATTGAAAACTAAAAACACCTCCACATGCGATCGCACTGCCAATTTAGTGGGATTATAAGTGTGTTTTTGAGTTGCTAACATCGCAACGGTCACGTCAGGCGTTTACTTCGGAAGCAGTCAGACGTGGATGGTGGAGCTGCCTAATCGCGAAGGGATCAAGTTCCACACACACACACACGCACACCCACGCATCGAATCTTCACTTGTATCGAAATCCGCAGAACCTTGGCAGAAAGGAGAAGGCACACGACTAGCTAAAGGTCATTCTGTGTGGTCTTGGAAAAAAGTGTGTTCTTTTCGCATCCCACACACGGCCACAATTACCGCGCGTCTCTCTTGCTTTGGCAGCCCCTGGCGAAGCTAAACACCTCTTATTAACCTACAATCACCAAGCTGCGCCCTACGCTTTTTTCCCTTGTGAAAAGTGTGCTTGTGGACAAGCTCATCCAGTTTTGACGTTCTGAGCGATGGTTCACCACGCATCTCGTCCGAGCTACGTGAGTTGGCTGGCTTTCATGGCATTTTGGTCGAAAAAGGAGGCTCTCTTGAACGTTTCATCCTCGCTCCATGTGGGGTGACGTTTTCAGGATGTATTCGGTTCTTACTAATACGACCTGTGCTTGTTAAGTCGAGTTTGTTGCGGTTCGTATAAAACCCATTTTCTTCCCTAATAGCGCGATGTTCCTCATCAACTATTCGTGCTTCAAATCGTTTGCTTGTTTGACATGTAACTGAAGTCATTTTATGACACAAATTGTTTATAGCGTTAAAGTGTACTCGTTTAATCCGATTCACCTCCTATTTTCCGCTAAGTGTACGATATGGGTCGATTTTCAAATCGAATTTGCCAATAATCGTTATAGTTTCGAATAAACAAATGAACAGAGCGTTTAAATGTCAGTTTTCACCTCACAACTCCTCATTTCAGGGGGTGAAAATGCAGACCTCGCGAAAATGCATTAAATTGTACACAAATCCCTATACGCAGATGCGGTTATGACCTAAATTTGACTTGATTTACACACATGCACACGCCTCCTCCATATACATATTCACGGTCGCGGTTTGCGTGAGGCAATTAGGCGTGGTTCGTATTTCCCGCGAGCCGTTACGCAAAGGGTGTTCGCGAGTGCATGTGCGGTCGTTGTTGTGCCCCCTCGTTCCTCCTTCCATCACCCGCCCCGCCCCCCCATCAATCCTTTCTGTTGGACGGAGTGATTCACTTGTTGGCATTTGCGTGTTTGTGCACCAATTTTTTGACGTGGAGTGTCCAGCCCTTGAAAAGCGCTCAACTTCTCCTGGGCCCAATGCTTTTGGCTGGTGTTTTTTTACCTCTTCCAGGCTGTGAATGGATGTCTGACTGGTTCTAAGGTTGCAGTGCTAAGTTAGACGCTAAACTCCTTGCATGTAGCCGTTGAATTTGCCAAATCTGCCTGATTTCGCTTCGCCTGTCGAGTCACCGATTCCCCTCCGTCAATGCCACTTTTAAAACCGATCGCTCGTGCCTTTTACCAGCCCATTTCGCCGTTCATTTGCCTGGTCTGGTCGATTAAGCTCACCTGCCGAAAAGCACTGGGCTGTTTCCGCACAATTGAGGGGGAAATCTGCCACTGGTACCGAAAATGCAGCCTAAAAATTCGGCAACCAATGGCAACGTCTTGTAGAATCAGAAGGCCCATGCAACACTTTCGCAGACACAGGCCTCTTTGAACGCAAGTTTTGTCCTAACAGGTGGCTTTGATGGTGAGCGGAACCTGAACTCGGTGGAGTGTTTCCAGCAATGCGAAAACTCGGCCCATCATCGACGCCACCACCTCCATCTCACCGATCTCGCCTACGACGAGGAAAGGGAAGCGGAGGAGAGGATGGATGCTATGAAGCCGCCAGTGCGCCGTCTGCCTCGCTGCAAGTCGCGCGACGACGACGATCTTGAGGAGTGGTTGGAGGAGGGTCCACGAAGTTTGCTGGTCCCGCCCAACTTCACTGGGGGAGGCGGTGGCGGCAGCGGCAACTCAAAGCCGACCTTCGCCGGCGACCAAGCAGCCTCTGCGTCATCCGCTGCTCGTGAGGGCTCTGCATCCACCTCCAACGCCCACAGTGACGACTGGCCGGGCGATTTGGCAACCGTCACAACTGAGGTGGGTGTATTTCGACAAATTACGTGGCTCTTTGTAGCCGTAGTTCTTGGTTAATGTCTCCCTTGGTGCCCCTGAAGGGTCTGGACTCCACGGAAAGTCTCATCGAATCGCTGACCTTCCAGTCGGCTGTGACGTCCACCGGTGGCGCTGGTGACGCCACAGCCCCCTGCGTCTCCCCCACCGAAGCGGACAACGACGACGTCTTCGCGGACTGGCAGTGGCTCCCTGCGATGCCACTCATCGCACACGAGGGCGGAGTTGGTGTCGGTGTCATCCCGCTTTACTAGATTCAACCCCACCCACCCACCCGCCACGCATATCTCTCCTCGCATTCGTGTCTTTCCCTCCCGCTGCTTCCTCTTTTTGTAGTGTCATCTTCACTTGTTACTTGTTGTCGGTCGTTTTTGGTCTTGTTTATTTATCCATCGCTAGTCTGAATCGTTGACATTTTTAATTGGTTGGTCCATCAAAAGAGTGTGTATGTGCTACTGAGCTTGTCATCAGCGAAGCATTAAAATGAGGCCTTGAAGCGAGCATTTGTCCCAGCGACACAGCCGTCGTGCATTTGCGCTAAGTGGGCGGGGAACGAATCTGATTGGCTGGTAACATGAATTCTTGCCTTAAGTTTGGCATTGCACATGCCACTGTTTGCTGGTTGGCCGGTTTCCCAAGGTAACTAAGTACGCATGTCATTTGTTTAGGCCTTGACCGTTCGTAGTGTAGGAAATTATCAGAGCTACATAGACCACTTTACTTCTTCTTCAGTGTATTGGTAAACCCGATTTGAGGTAAAGACAAATTGAGTATTAAGCTGAACCACATTCCAGGGATTCCAGTTCGTGCTGTTGATGTGTCTGTTTGATGAAACGCCGAAGGACTCGGTATTGGTGGCTTCTGTACAACTGGGCCTTGGCAGAAAACAAAGTGACGCATCACAGCGATCGAGGCACCTCCAAGTCGTCGTCTCGATGTCGTAATGCAACACCGCAATCACCCCGAACACGCAACTCCTCCTCCAGACGGTCGTCTGGGTTCAGCGACTTTACCGATCTCCAGTATTTCGCCTAAAACCAAGGTAGATTTTCCCTTGAGATAACCACAAACCTGAATGGAAGGGCCAATGGTTTACCAATCACCAACCAGTTTATCTAACTAGTGAACCAGCCTTACTTCAGGTTTGAATTCAACGTTGTCATCCCTATTCCAAATTTCTAGTCGTGTTTAACAATGTGAACGTTCAAGTAGTCCACGAAGGTTTTTTTATTACTTAAACCTTACTTACTCGCGATTCCGATAGAATGCTTCAACTTACTCGCTCTGCGCAGCGCTGATTAAAATTCTGGAGTCGCTGCGGCAGTTGAGGCAGGATGACACTCTTCGTTTCCTCTCCAGTGACCCACTTGTGTCGACTGGCCTGGAGTGCGGTGAATCTGATCGCAGGGTCCACTGCCAGCAGACGTCTAATGAGGTCGTGGCAGTGCATGCTGATGTCCTTCCAGCCGGGGGCGTCAAACGCGTAGTCTGCTCGTTGGATGGCTCGAAACGCGTCCATGTCGTTGTCTCGCTTGAAGGGTTCTTCTCCACATGCCCTTGTTGGTTCGATAAAGCGGAGGATTATAATCAAGTCTAGTAAATGCTATGGTACTCATGCATTTAATCGAACTGCTACCTACATGATAAAGAGTATTACGCCAAGAGCCCACAGGTCTACTGGTGCCCCGTAGTCGTGACTAAGGAAGATTTCGGGGGCTGTGTAGGTGTAGTCACCATTGACTAGCTCAAGCTCCATGTCCGAACCGATTACCGTTGAAAAAGCTGCATCACCTATCAGCAGGAAGTAATTTCAACAGAATTCGATTAAGCAAAATTAGCTGGCTGGTATCTATTAGCTATATATATATTTCATAACCTGTACGATACTTACTAACTTGAACATTGAGGTTGTCGCCTTCTTTTGTCAGCAAAAGGTTGCTTGGCTAGGAGGAGAAGAGAGCATGTGATTTATTCGATCCGAGGTTCCTTGAGGTGGTCAATAATTAATCCCGCCTACTTACTTTGAGGTCACGATGTATGATATCGAAGTAGTGCAGGTAGACCAAAGCATCGACAATCTGACGGATCGCCGTGGCCATTAGGTCTTCACTCAGAACATCCAAAGAAGCCAAGCTATGGCAAATATAACCTTGAATCAATGACGATATCAACTAAATGGAACTCAGTGCTTCATCTGATAGGTGCTACGTTCATGGTACTGAAACACATATACCAGAAATCTTGTTTTCCATATAAAGAGCAACCTAAAGTCACGTTGTGCAGGAGTTATGTAAGTACTTACACAATAATGTGTAACACAGTGGTTTAATTTGGGATAAAAATAATTTTTTTCGGAATATAAACGCCCGCATTTGGTAATTTGGCAAAGTTCCGTGAATGTTAGTGCCAGAAACTACACATAACAGAGTCGAGAGTACAAATCAGGTGTGATTATCCACATCAGTTAAAAAAATGACACTTACTACTGAAACAGCGGTTTTCCATCGACGAACTTGGAAACCATGAAGATGTGCGTATCACTTTCAAAGACCTCCTTTAGTGCAACAACATTTTTGTGCTCCAAGCGCAGTAGTGGTCCCAGGGTGACGGTTTTGACATAGTCCTTTGCCTACACCCGGTAAGGTCAAAAATGAAGATCAACGAACCCGCTTCTGAAGGGCTTTCACAGCGCACTCACGTTGGTTCAAATCCGTGCAATGAAATGTGAAGCACGAGGAGCCACTGAAAGAACAAACGCTACACATCATCATTTCGCTCGCGCTGCTAAAATGTTTGATCGTGTTTAATTCCTTAACAGACATTTTAGCTTTCAAGAACCGGTCAAGCAAAATTATCGATCTCATGTAATCTTGCAGAAGATTTTACTACCCCTAAACTTTTAATGTCTTTAGATGTGATAATTTTCATGCAACATTTTTCGAAGACTTAATTTCTTCGCCAAAACATCATATTCCGGTTTTTAAAAAAAACTTTCTTTATTTTTAGGCATGGTCAATTCGTTTAACGTAACCATAATTGTAGCTTTATGTACCAGGCTTAGTAAGCACAGAATGAAACAATTCGTATTTTCTTCTTTTATTACTTAGTACATTCATATTTATAAAGCAACCTATTTCTCAGAATCGACCACATGGGAGTTATCAGTCAAATATTAACAGAACAATATAGAATGCTGCTCTGCATTGGAATGGTTAACGAGATATATGGTTAATTGTGAAACGAAAAATGTATTGCACCAAATAAAATCGTTTTTACTGAAGATTAGGTGGACCAAATGTTTATTGTGAATCATAGTATTCACATAAAGGTGTGTGATTCAACTTGCCAGTGTTTTTGATAAGCTCAAATGAATATTTTTAGGAATACAAACAAACTATTTTGCAAGGTGAAGCAGGAACTTGCTGCACTTGTTATGAACTAGGGTGATACGGCTAGGAAAACAAATTACTCAGCAGGACCACACTAGATATGCTATGAATTTGACAAAAGTGGAATTTTTCAAGATAGCGTGATTACATTGAGACACTGTCCAAGTGATAAAACTTACTTATGCATTCATTGAATACGTACTGATTATTTGTAAAAAATTTAAATTGTTGCTGTTATGGGAAAAGTGAATTTAGGCATATAAACTGATGTATTTTGCATAAGTTTCCGATGTATTTGCATATAAAATAGTATATTCAAAGATCACACTAAAAAATTCCAAACATTATAAAACAAATTAACTCACACCGGTTGATACACACGCCTGCCGATTTCTTTTTTAGAAGTATAAAGGCTATCAAAGTTCACTCTTTTTTCACTGTCATTCAACCAATTCTTTTCACCCATTGGTAAAATTAAATCCACGCCGATGTAATGCTATGGTTTTGGGTCAGCATTACTTAAGTAAAACGTACCACATGTATTTCCTTAAGCTTATTATTAGGCCTTAATAAGGAACTATAAGCTTTATTATTCGAGCAACCTTTGATACTAAGGTACAGCAAAAAAATCATTTCTCTTTTAACAATTTGTTTTTGTTTTGCTATGTCCCTGATGTAGCCTGTTTTTCAACTGGCAAATTCCTGACAAGATTAGCACAAACGCACTTTTTAAGCCACTCAGCTTACAACTATCAACAATTTTTTAGGACTTTTGCACTGAATCGTGGTGGAAAAAGAAAAGTTTTTTTAATGGAACAGAATTACATAATTTCACGTTATTGGAGAGATAAAATTGGTTTTTGATTTTAAAATGACTGTTAGCTGAATCCTAGCAGCAAATTAAGGCAAAGCATTGTTTTCATTAATCAATACTCAATTTTACTGGTATGAGGATTTATATTTTAACTTTTGAAACTTTCTAAAATATAATCTGTGAAAGTCGACTCGCAAAACATGTTGAAATTCTGATAGTTGCAATTGACATTTCAGACATTTATCAGCTGTCGGCAATCCTTGAGATATCTTGCATCAAATAAACCTATGCGTTTAATTTCTGACATTGTCTGAAAATTTCCAAAGTTCATATGTGCAAATAAAATTGAGTGCCACAATTCAGTTGAACCCACTGACAAATATGTATTTCATTTCTTTCTTTCTTCAGATGGCTTTCGGTCTCTCTTACTGAAGATCCTGTGGTTCAAATCAGAACTTCCCAATTGAAGCCAAATTCAATTATTTTAAGGAAGCCAACCAGTCAACTCTTATATATTGAGTAGCACATTTCGGGTAAACTCGGGTGTTAAATTCCCCATTACTTCTAAGATCTACGTGATTTAAAATAACCTTTATTCATCTCAGTCCAACCCATATCCTTTTCTCAATGATGCACAAATTTTGTTGAATCATCCAGCGCTTTAAAATTTACCATATTTTAATGAGGATTATGGCAATGAGAAAAAGTAACCGGGATTATAGTACCACTTCTAAAATCCTCTCCACTTCCTAAATTAATTGCATGTGAAAGAGTCCAGCATTTTGCCTTGACGCCGACATGACCTTTATATTTCTAAATGCACGCTCGGTGCTCCAATAGTAGGAAAGATCTTTGAGTGCAGTAAAAAGGACCACCTTCTCCGCTGACAAGCGAGTGGCCATTATCTGATCTGATTTCAATGACTTCAAAGTTTATCCAGGCAGTCAGGTCCGTACACTCCTAAACACAAGTATTCAAAAATGTATATGAGATGACTTAGAAATCTGTCGCCTTCTTTTGTCGTCGAATCAAAATTATATTACTATCGGAGATAAAGACTTTCTCGTTCATTTAAAGGATAGCCACTAATTATCCTTCTAATATTCTACATTTGGACATTTCCCATGCAGGCAAACAAAATTATTTTTATTAAATAAACACTGGTTACAAGTTTACATACATTTCCACTATTCTAATTTGTTTATATCCGCGTCGTTGATCTGTGTCTTCACCTTCCACTAGGATAGCTTCCCATGAAAAACTCTTGACCTATTTTCTTTAGGCGGTTATTTTCCCATTTATTCAAAAATGAATTCCAGTTGAATTCATTTAAACAAATTGGGATAAGTAGGATATGGGTATACCCCGAAATTGTATTAATCTTGATAAATTATTAATGTACGTAGATAAACTAGCATGCCTATTTTACCATCTCCCATAGACGTATTTTTCGTTATGGAGAGCAGGATGACCAATTATTTACGCAATATAAATCAAGACTTTAATAATAATTTCGACATTCACTTTGCTTTTTTAGTCCAAGAAAGTCACATTTTTTTGTTTTAAATCTGTAAGACAAAATTTTCCTAACTAATTGTAATTGTTTTATGTGAATTGCATTGTTTTGATCTACCATAATCTTACGTCAGTAACACCGAGCGACGTAACTGTTTTGCGAGTTCCAATTGCATATCAAGTTATGTTTGTAAAAGAATGCCTAGTTATGTTTGTTCTGTCAATATATCACTGGTATGTAAGAAGTGAGAAGTTTACTCCCGTTAGAATTCGGTTTGGGTGTCTTAGTTCCGTGTCGGTTTAACATAAAGTGCAATTGAAATCTCTAAACACGTCTACATTTTAGTTGTCGTCGAGGCAATACAACGGGGAAGGACCGCAAAATATATGCAAAGTTTGAGGTGTTAATTGCTTGAAAGTCTGCCCGTGTCAGAGCTACTTTGTAGAATTCCGATCTAGTGAATTCTTATTTAAACATGACCACCGTGCTCAAATTACCCATCTTGAACCCATCTTGATACGTGCAGGCATGCTTTTAGTGACACTCATGATCCACTATAGTGAAGGGAGGCCTTTCAAATCACATCTTTTGTTCCGTTTCGTAAACAAACATAACCCCTGGCAGCGATTTTTGGCAGCTAAACGAACTTCCGACACCAAAGAGACTCTGGCTCGAATCCTCAACAAATGGTGATCCAGTGTTTTGATCTATTGGACTTTCCATGATCAGATGACACTAACCAGTCCTATGGATGTCAGCCACCTCTAACCTGGATCAATTTGGCCTCAATTGTAAACGCTGATCTCACCGGTCTGAGCTCTCTCATCATGTATCGACTCTCATTCGTCTTAGTATGTTTGTTGCGGTTCTATTGTTAGTTAGCCTACCGTGTGGCACTGCACACAAACTCACTGACGTATTTTTGGCTAAATCAGTCAGTCAGTCGAAACCGCATTTTTAGGAAAACTAATGCCTTGGTCTAAATTTGAACAAATAGTTTTGGTAGTGACAGTAGGAATGTTAGGTTTAGTGCCTAACGATACTCATGCACAGGACTTTGGGAGAACGCCTACAAACACTCGCTTACGCGAGATGAATATACAAGGACAAGATCTCGTTGAGAGGGTCTTAGCACTATATCCAAACGGACCAATCATAAATAGCATGGTCGGTCTTGATAACCAATCAAAAAAAACACCTCACTCGAAATAGAAGTGAGTAGGCTGGTGAGCGGTCGACGTGTATAGGTGAAACAGTAAGCATGATAGGCTCATGAAATTAGTAAAAGATGAAGCCTCAATTAAACAAGAAATCACCGAGTTATGAGGAATTCTGACTTACTTAACACCGTGTTTAATAACTATATTGGAATGATTTTACTTAAAATTTGTCCTTCGAGATTGAAAAACAAACCATGACATGAATTGCGAATTGAGGGCGGCATAATTTACGAGGCTCATTAATTTTGCTTGAGTATTCTTGGTACTATAGACGATATCTGCCATACAAACACCCACACACACACTTCAAAGCATCCGGTTTTTTATTCTAACCGAACTACTTGATGAGCTCAAAAGTGGAGTTTGCAGTCATCGTGCATCATATATTCCATCGAGCATTTTGATTAGCGCGCCGCTGCAAAGTTATTCGATTAAAATCGATTTCGTACTGAATTGATGTCTTGCGTAGGACCGGATTAGCGTACAAATTTAGGCAAAAAATTCAGGCGCATGGAAGATATTTTACTTTTAACAAGTGAAATGCCAGCCTTAAAGGTATGTGCAAACATAACCAAATTAAATTATGAACACCTTTAGACCTAAGGAATCAGATGGGATCTGAAAGAAGCATTACTAATCACAATATGCAATTTTACGGTTATGCAAATCATTGCCCGCCGTTAGTTTCACCTCACACACTTCGAAGTGAGAAAGGGAGTGTTTTGTTAAATTATGTTTTACTAATTGTTACGTTTATTCAAACCGAAATGAAATAGAATAATCTACTTCTCTGCACAAGACGAGGTACACATAACTGCATCATTATACTGCATACATTCAGTAGAAATTACAAAAAAACACTCAAGGTCACTTGAACTCGATATTGATTTTTTCGAACAGTTCACTGTAACTCGGCTCAAGGTAAAATAACAGCATAGTGTAAAAGCGAGATTTCTTTAATTGATTTCTGTCTGCCTCGCGCCATGAACCTCGTAAAGTCGTGTTTGTAATACGATCGCTCATTGTCGTAGTCATTTTGACGGCGTGAGCATCTGGGTCGGGATATCAGCTGAGAAATCACTTCGAAAAATGATTGGCTGATGCCTCGTCCACTTCTTAACAGCGTAAAACGGCAGCAAATCGCTGAAAGTAATGAAAGCACCAGCCTCTATTTCTTCTTCTTGTCGTCCTTTGCACGGTTTTCATATTTTTCAATCTCTATCTTTACCTTTGGGTTAAATGAGGCCACCTTGGAGTTCATAGTGCCAGCCCACATGTTGATGTGCCCTCTGTTTACAGACGGCTAGAGTTAATTTTGCCGAAAAAAGTGCACTTGACGATCATGGCTATTCTGGAACTAACGAGTTTTAAGGCTGAATCGATGATGGGGTTTCGGCCGTTAGAAAATACCAGTGATTATTCCCCCTCTGTCCGATACCCAATTGTATTCCCCAATCCATCTTATTTCACTCAAACAAATAGTTAAATATCTTCCAATCGATTCTTTTGAACTTGTGTTGGCTGCTATAGATTAACAGATTATTCTGCTAACACCTCGACTACCCTAAGTAATTAAACCAGGAGTATTTGGTCAGTGATGGTGGGTATTTTGGTTCCTCGCCGAATAAGAATTCCAGCTTAATAAACGTACACACACATCTAGCATTTAGCCCAAGTCAGGAAATTCTCACTACATTGTGCAATAATTCTGGTCACAGAGTGATAAACGCCCTTGTCAATTAATGTGTGTTTTCTACTCTGAGCAGCTCTGAGCTTGCTCATTCACGCAAAGATGAGCTTTTGTTTTTCTGGTCAACTGCCTCTGTGTGTGCAGGCGCGCGCGCGCGCCATGCGAGTACTTTTCATAATTGCTTGCAAAATTCAGTCACAGCTCGCGCGCCCAACGCAATTGGTTGGCTGCAGCGTGCGCGCGTGTGTGTGTGCGCGCATGGTATTACGGCATAGCGAGGAAGCGCGTGCGCGTACACGCCTGACCACCAGTGGCAGAGGAGGCAGTTGCGCCAGGCAGGAATTGGTGAGTTCGTAGGAGTTGTTGCCTGTACGGGGCCAGATCGATGACAAAAGAGAGAAGCATCGATGGTGCCAAAACTGCCTTCTCAACGTGCACACACGCCCACCCCTATGCGTGGAACGGTTAGGCGTCAGAGCAGTGTGTAGGAAGAGAGCTCAATAAGCAGGCAGGGTAATTGCTATGTCAAGAATGGGTTTGCCCCACTACTTGGCTGATTATCATGAGCGCAGTCCTCTGAAACCGAATACAAACTCTATTAAATTAACCTGATTAATTAAGAAGCGTGTGCTGAAAAGAAAAAAGACTACAATTTATCATTTGGGTGGCAGTTGACGAACTTCTGGCAAACTAACTAGTACGACTTTAAGTACACTTTTGCAGTAAGCACTATCAAGAAATCTAAAATCCATGAGCATGATTTGTCAATGCAGAACTGACCAGTACACATCCTAAAATAGGTTTGAGACTGGTTTGAGTTTGATAGATTTATCCATTTAAGGGGGTAACTTAAGGTGGTGAAGATTTGACGCTGTGTCACAAACTGAGCCCAGGGTCAAAGAGAACGAAAAATTTGGGGAAAAATGTTCCACCAACATGAAATTTTAAATGTTAATTACCATGCACACGAATGGAGTCACTCAGGTCTAGAAAATTCTACAATTACAGCAAAATAAGTACAGCTGTCATGTCTTGTGTGATGAGTTAGGTAAACTTGTAGAGGCTGTTTGCCTTTAAGATAAAGGGAGTACCAACAAAGCCCTCAGTCCATTAAATAGACAAAAGGATACAACTGAAAAAGCCAACTCCCGCAAAGTGGAAGCAACAAAATCCCAGTGAAGACTCAGCATGAGTTGAAGGCTACATTGGCCGTGGGAGTTGGGGAATTAGTAGATTTTGATCCTAAAACAATTATCCTAATCTAGGCAGCAGTACTCGTTTGTAGCGCATCAACCAGATGTGCTGGCATCTCGTGCAAGTTGCTGGCGCTCTGCTTGTAGGACGACAAGCCAGCCGCGCCTACAATGCTATCGATTTTCTGCACGCCGGTCATCGAACGCTGCGCACAAAAAACCCACCACGATCCGCCATGAAGGAGATTAGCTGAGCTGAGGGAAAGAGAATTCGACAAATTTATGGCTGATTTGAATTCCCACAAGTTCCCTGACACCGAAATGGTTTTGGATTGCATTCTAGGGTGAGTTCCAAATATGCTTAATCGTTTATTTGGGAGGTGTGAGATTACAGGCATCGATTTATAGAACTTGATTACAACGAGATCTTGTAAAGTGACTAATATAGCATTTTAAGTATCCGGAATTGATGATCGGCTTATCTTGGCATCACTATTAAACCAAACGCCTTGTGTGTTCAAAATAATGCAACGTGTAGAAGTCAGACTCCACCGTTGGGAGACTTCTAATTAATCCAATATAAGCAGTAACCATGTCACGCGAAATATTCTGTTCGAAGTTGCTGCAGCCAATCAGCTGCCCACGAAATGCCTTCACCAATCATTATCTACAACTGGCGGCAGGAATATTTCAAATGGCTTTAGAGAACCAATCGTCTTTCATCGGCCAGTCGGGCCTTCCGCTGACATGATTTCACCGTTACAAGTCCCAAAACTTTTTTTCCCTTTTTAACATAGGATAACTTTAAACGATAAATTTACGGACCAAAATATGCCTGACTGATAATGTTTCCAAAGAGATACCCAGATCCCTGGGTCTCTTGGAAGTCATTCCGTAAAAGTTGTGGTGAAAATGCAGATTTGAATTCTCGACTTAGAAAAAAGACCGTTATTTTAAATTCATGCAGCTTAGCAACCGCGTTTTAGGGTACATTTTGAAAGGTTGTCTGTCGACCACATGACTGGCGCATTTCAACAGCAATTAAAAGAATTGCACCGATTTCTCAACGCCGAATTGTGCAATTATTCTGGTCATATGCCCTGTAATAACTGGGTACAACAATTTTCTCAGTTTTCACAAAGCACCAGGCCTGTTCACGCATGCTCAGTTGTTGTTCGCGGGCCGCGCAGCCAAGCCTGAAGGGGGGCGTTGATCACACAACGCATCTCTTAATTTCACGCGTCAATCATTCGGCGTGCCCGGGCGTACGCGCGCACGCGCTCACGGGAAAACGCCCATCCTCATTGGCTGTGGGGAGAGCAAGCTCGAGAGTTCGGGCGTGTGTGTGTGTGCGCGCATGTACACGTACGCACGCACGAAACCGTCACTTGCGTGCACGCCCCAGTAATATGGGGTGCGGTAATCGGATTAGCAACGAGAGGTGTTCAAAAACAGGTCGATATGAGGTACACATAAGCCGCCTGAGAGGCCTCGTGTCATGTAAGTACAGATGGCAGCACATAGACGATGTTTTGCAAATGTTCACCAACCACTTAAACCACCACACACCACACTGTTCAGGGGGATTGAAATCCAATAAAAACTGTTAATTAAAACCAACACCATTTAAGAGCAGCGCCAAACTAATAGCGACCGCAAAACGGCCCAGCTTGTTTAAATAAACTCCCGTCCAAGACCGCGGTGTTTTCGAACTGAGTCAAAGTAAACCAAGGCAAGAGTTTCTAAACGGGCTTCGTGATTACGCTCTCTGACGCAATATTTCTGTGCATATCAGGGCCACGGCAACTTGTGGTGACGTGTTGCAGCAGTCGAGGTGACATAGACAGTACCACATGCCAATCTCAAGATATTGATTAAAAAACACCAACCAGGCGACGACGCTGCTTCCACAGAAGGCTCCCACCAACATGACAGTTGAGGGACCCGACTGGATACCATCTGGCTGTTTTGTGGTTGTCCAAAACATCTAGCTAGTACCGAAAACCGAGAGAAGATGGGAGTTGTTTTTCAAGTACCGTATTTATAAAAGTTCGAAAGCGATGTGGTGGGGGACAGGGAGGTTGAAGAGGCACAGTTTTGGCGAGAGGGTACAACATGGCATGTATAAAAAGTTTGTGTTGGGGGGGGGAGGAGAATGGGAGCGTCACACGACGTATCACGCGGAGCAAGGGTTTCACTTGAACGACACACCGGCCAGAATGCTTGGAAGGTGTTCAAAGAAGCCCGTGAAGAAGGCGATGGCGTGGCCGACACTCGTGGTGCAGGTCATCTCGCGGCACGAGTGCATCGCCAGCTGGGCGCCACCGACGTCTGCCGTCATCACGCCCAGGTGCGACGCCACGATCGGCCCGATGGTGCTGCCACACATCTGGTCCTGGCGAATCACAAACTCCTGCGCAACAACAACAAGACAACGGCATAAACACACACACACACACATGACTCCAACTTGTCGGTAATCGTCGACATAGGAATGAAAAAAACGCACCTGAAGCGGCACCTGACAGCGTCTGGCGACCTCTTTGACAATGGCCGAGGTGAGTCCGTTGGTGGCGTAGTTCTGCGAGCAGTGGTGTTTCAGCACGATGCCGTGGTGGAAGGTGGGCTTGTGCGCGGGTTCGTGCTTCTCCGGCCACGAGGGGTGCACGGCGTGGGCCTGGTCAGCGGACAGGATGAACGAGCGCGCCATGGTCCGCTCAAAGAGACAGGAGGCGGCGGTGTTGACACCACCACCACCACCACCCTCCGCCTCCACCGAGAGGGCGTCGGTGATGCGACGGAAGAGGCTCTCAGTGAACAAGGAGTTGGCTCCCTGCGTGCTCCGCGATCCGATCTCCTCGTGGTCGTAGAGGCACACCACGCGCACGTAAGAGTCCTCCTTCAGACTGGGCAGCGAGTTCACCAGGGCCTGGATAGAGGTGTACGAGCAGAACTGGTTGTCTAGGCGCGGCGCGTGGATGAACTCCTCGTGGATGCCGCCGATCCTCGCCGGCTGGGTGTCCGCCAGGTAGAGTTCGAGCTCCACCAGGTCCGAGGGCGCGCACTGCAACTCAGCGGCTATCAGACGAAGCAGGCTGGCGGGGTGCCTTGAAGCTCCGGACTCCTTCAGACCGTCGATATCGCCAGCTGAGGAGTGCAGCTACGTGGGGAATTAAAGGAGACGCGTGAGCATTGTGAAAGGTACACAAGACAACCAAACAACCAACCAACACACACCTGCTCAGTAAGGGTGGTACACAAGATGGGAGCCAAGTGGACCTCCGGGTTGGGCGCAAAGCTCTTGTTCACCTCTCGATTCAGATGAATCGCCAGACTGGGCACACACGCCAGCGGACGAGCGATATGGACCAGACGCTGCTCCAGCGCGCCGGTGGTGGGGTTGCGCACGAGGCATCGACCGGCGAGGGTGAGTTCGCGGTCGAACCAGGTGTACCAGAGGCCGCCACCGTACGTCTGCACAGCAAGCTCCACGAAGCCCTCGCTGGTGCGCTCCGAGATGGGCTTCAGCCGGAGGCAGGGGCTGTCGGTGTGCGCGCCGATTATCCCGAAGCCCTCGCCCGGCTTGTACGCGCCACCAACTGCCACAGCGAACAGCGAAGAGTGGTTCTTGGTCACGAAGACGCAGTCGTTCGGCTCCAGTTTCCACGGCTCGTACTCTAGCAACTCTCTGAACCCGTTGTTGGCCAGGATCTCGCAAGCCGATCGGACGACTAGAAGAGATGAAAGGGAAGTAACTCTCACAGAACTCAACGCGAGGGAGGTTACGGGTTGAGTGAGAGGTGAAAGAAATTGATTTATCGAAGCCGATCAACTACATGCAATAAGTACCTCATGTGTAATGCAATGGCACGCTATTTGGTAACTCGTGGAAAATGACTGGATCCTGAATGGAAATTGATGTTGCACATCTTCCAAACATGCCCATGGCCTTGCATAATTGCACGGCCGACAGAACTGCCTGAATGGAACAACGTTCACTAGGGATTGTCACCCCCGAGATCGTGTTCTACCTAGTAGCAGTTCTCTGAGCGTGGAATCACGAAGCAGTTGCTGAGAAGATGGAGTAAAGAATATGCAACTGATCAAAATTCCCTCCTGGTGTGTGACGAAATCGTTGAGAAATACTTCACACACCAAAATTGAGGTTCCCTTTCTGCTACCCATAGCTACACCCTGAACCACACCAACATGCGTCATTGTCGCGTCCACAAACCCACACCGAAACAACAGCGGACACCGGGTTGCTGTTCGTCTGTCCAAAAAGGCACCGACGACCAAGGTGTGGCTGACTGGGAGGCGAGGAGAGGGGACACGCGACACTAGAAGCACGCATGTACTCACACGAGCACACACACACACATACACAGAGAGGACAGAATTAAAGTACGAAGAGAAGCCAGAAGGTGAGAACGGGACACGCGGACAGAAGCGCTTGTGTGCGCACACGAGAAGATGGTGGTATGCACAGAACGAGGTCACCGGATGACCTAAGACGGCAGAAGCAGCACCAACCCGCAGGTGTGTGTGTGTGTGTGTGCGAGTGCACGACGAACGGACAGTGCTGACGCCGGTGCACACCGAATTTGCACACACACAAAAGACCGGCCTACAAATGCACACACACGCACACACAAAGTCAGTTGGAGGCAGAATTCGGAGCTGGTTTTCGTGAAATGGCCCATGAAAGGAGAATTCGCAGTGTCCTTATCTGTGCCCGTTTGCGGAACGCTGGGTTGCTGAATTTGGGCATCCGGCGGCTGTGTTGGCAACTGGGCTACACCGAAGCCTCCCAACTGCGTACCTCACTCGGTCACCACACGATAACGGCTTCAGACCTCCAACGCATGCCAGATTGTGCTGTTGTCCGATTCGGCTGCGCACCAGTTCACCTCAAACAGTCCCTGTGGAACCACGAAGATGTCCCCACACTCCAGTCCACCGTAAATTGCACCTACAGGTGACAGACTGACGCTTCTAGCCCGAAGAGGAGGTGGCGCCAACCTCGTCCACGTCACCGACCGCCGCCCAACGCCTCAAACAAGGCCGCGATGTGCAAAAACCGTGCGTGAGCGTGTGTTTTGGCATATGAGTTGTTCAAACACGTCCACCATGTGAACGCCAGCACGCCTCAACCGTAGACGTTGAATCAAAGCTCAGCTGATTGCGTGTTCGGGCGCATCTCGCTCGCTCGCTCGCGCTCTCTATGCCTCAAACACACCGAACCGATAATTGTTGTCAGGTGGACACTGATAGTGGTGGCGGTGGTGGTGGGGGTGACGGCGGCTGACGGATGCAAACCGGTTGCAGGGCACACCACTCGAGTTGCAACCGGTTCAACGTGAGATCGGTGACGGCACTCACGTCAGCGGGTGTGCACAATGCGCTGTTCAAGCATGTCTGCATTTTAACCCGGCAGGGCGTCAACCAGAACGCACTTCTTGACGTGTTCGCCTGCCCTACCCTCCCCGCCTCCCTCGCGCGTGCAACCAATGACGCGTTGCCAGTGGCCCCAGGAACCTGCTCAAGTGTGTCGCCCTGGATTGTGATCCGGCCGTGCCACCAGCAAACGCGCTAGGCACTGCGCTCGTGTGTGGAGCGTGTGTGTGTGATCGCAGTTTCCGTGCTGAGCGGCGACTGCTGCCTGACCGAGACGCCATTTTGTGGTGGTAGCGCGTGGCATAATTTATTCTAATGGCATGCACAACGCACGGACACCACGCGTCCGCGCGCTCGCGAGCATTTTTAATTTAGTTAATTAAGAGTCAAAAAAGCGAGCGAGAGCCAGCGCGAACACAGGCACCGAGCAGGGCCTGACTGGTGCACCGAAATCACCTCTAGCAAAAGCGCCTCCCCCACCCACCCACCCACCCCACAAGTGAGATCGCCACGAGTAACCCTTCTATGAGAGAATGCCGTGAGTGTGTGTGTGTGTGTACATGAGGCTGCCGTGCAAGTACGAGGTCACTTGAAGCACACACACACACACAACTAGACACGTCCAGCTGGTGGAGGTGGTTTAATCGCCTGATTGACAAGTGGATCTGAGAGGCCAGAGGGCAGATTATGGCATTCAGGCGCGCGCGCGCGCACACACAACCAGCAATGATGGCAGTGGCATTGAGCAGAGTTGAGAGAGCAGTGGCCAAGTGTGTGTGTGTGTGCAGGCAAATCACACTTGAAGAGGCAGATTACTGTGATGAGGCATAAATAGAACCACGTACACGCACCCAACGTGGTTGTGAGAACAGGTACTCACGCAAGCACGCACGCGTGCACACACACACAGTGAGTGAGAGAGAGGCTGCCTACAAAACACTCCTTGTGGGCGATCGATAGAGCGAGAGAGAGAGAGAGAGCGAGAGTGACAGTGAGATCTCTGATGCTGCTCAAGATGAGAACGAGAGAGAGAACAGCACGTGAACGCCCACGAACACACACGCTGGGCCCAATAAGCGATTGTTTTTAGGCAGCACAGTGGGTGCAACGATGCTCCTGAAGGTGACAAGTTGCCTCCCCTTGGCGCGTGGCCACCTCCCTCCCCCCAGGGAGACACGCAGAGGAGTCTCAATTCCAAATCGGTGGCAATTATGGAAGTTTACAGCGATAAAATTAACCCGAAATCGGATTCCCATCACGTTGTGTCCGATGCCTAGTGTCTAGTGGTTACCGCATGCCCAAACAAAACGCATTAGGGAAAAAGAAGACAACCAAATCGACTGCTGCACTTACCATGAAAGGGCGAAGGCGACTTATTGATGAAGTTGATGAGTTCCTTGGCGTGAGACATTGGACTTTGAGGCAGTCGCTACAAGGACAACAACTGTGTTAGTGCTGAAGAAGGAGTGCTGGAAGGGGCAGTTGGGGAGGAAGGGAGGGGGGAGATAAGTTTGCAAGCCGAGGGTTAAAGCCCAAGTGAAATTGATTTCTAATCTGGACACGCACGCACGCACACACACACACACAAACACAAGAGCGAGAGAAAGCGCTTTCCCACAGTCGATAACCGCCGGCCGACATATGTGCACAAACCGTGGGAAGATCGATATTCGAGGGCGGCCAACACAGCGATTGTGACCTTATTGTTAGAACACAACACCGCAAAGAGAGGTAGGAGGGAAAGGGAGAGAGAGAGGCGGTTATGTGTGCGTGTTAGACGATGGAAACCCTGGGCGTTGGCAAATCTGACGAGCTTACTGCCATGACACTACTACTGCTACTACTGCTAGGTGCGGTAGTAGACGTCTGGGAGACGGCCTGTGCGGCACCGCCAATGAGCGAATTGAGGCAGTTGGGGATTTGCAGTTTGCGCAGAAGAACTTCCGCAGGAGTGGGCAGACAGGAGGCGGCGTCCGGCGGGAAGTTCATCGGGAGGTTGAGGAGGTCGCCGAGGTTCGCGGAGAGCAGCTGCTTGCCGTCGCCGCGTGCCGCGGCCAGGATGATGCTCTGGAGGCTGTCCACAACGCTGGGGTCGGAGGAGCAGACGGGATTGGCCGGAAAGACGAGTGGTATTTGGGAGGAGGCGGCGGATGTGGGAAGGGCGGTGGGCGCGTAAATGGAGGCGAGGGAGCGTGAGAGAGGGGTCGGGATGGCCGGGTCACTGGCGCTTCCTGTGGCCGCCGGCAGGACGTGGGTGTTGGGCGCGGGAAAGTGGGTCACAGTGATGCTTGGTGGTGCGGCTGGCGGGAAAAAGGGTGTCGTGGTGGCGATGCTGTCGAGCGCCTCCGCACTCACTGGCGTGCAGATGAACGAGGAGGGGGCGAACACGCTTGTCGCCGGCAACTGGTGGTGACTGCCATTGTTGGCGACCAACGACGACGCGCTTGACGGCGAATTCGACTCGGCGTTGACAACCATCGACTGGAAACGCAAACACAAAATGCACACTTACACATCTAACTCGATTTCATGTTCCAATAAAACACATAAAAAGTGACTAACAGGTTGAATTAGTGAGCATAAACTAAAGAACAATAAAGAAGTAAGCAAAAAACAAGTGTGCGTGTGTGTGCTTACATCGGACTGCTTTGGCGACGGCGCAGCTGAAGAATGCGGAACTGTTGCTGAGAGGGACTTTGCGGCTGACAGCTGCGAACTCCAGTTCTGCATGGGTACCTGAGTTGGCAAACCGGAGACGTTGTTCCAGGGGCTCTGGAGTCGGGAGAAGGAGGTAGCGGCCGCTGGCGGCGTTGCCGCGTGCTGCGCTCTCAGCAGGTTCATCGTCTCCGCGGGCAGACCGAACAGTGCCGGCATCTCACCCCTCTCCGCACGGGAATGCCCTGCCTGGTGGTCGGTGCTGGCACCACCCGATGCTGACGCCGCCGCCGCCGCAGCAGACGACGATGAGGAGGAGGGTTTGCATCGATTGTTCGGCAATTTGATGCCGTTCTTTCGTACAAAGTCACACAACGACGATTTGGCGAGGTTGTAGCGCGACGCCGCCTTGCGCATGGAGATATTGTGCTCAATCACGTCGTTCACAGCCATTAGAAGAAGTTCTTTGCGTTCGCCGGGTTTGTGACGCGGTCGTTTGAGCGGCGAGGCTGCGATACTTCCAACAGTGGAGGGATTTTCCGGTTTCAAACTGACCTCTGTGGGGTTGAGCAAGGAACAGGCGGATTCAGGAGTCGGCGTTGCCGTCGTCGTCGTTGTCTCCATGGGTTGATGCGGTGGCACCGGTTTCTTCGCAGACATCAGAATAGCTGAGGGCGAACTGGAGCCGTAAGCCATGCCACCACCGCCGCCGCCACCGGCTTCTGGCGGTGTTTCCGACGGCGAGAGAGCAGACTTGGCAGTAGTGGCGACAGACACAGACGGCGGAGCAGCGGGCTCGACACTTGCCATGGTGGTGGTGACTGTGTGTGTGTGTCGTACGTGCAATTGTGTGCTCAAGGCGTCTGCAACCGATTGATATTACGTACGCACGGTGCGCACGTGCGAGTGCGCCAGTTCGAAAAGCCCCTACGCGCGTGCACACGCAAACTATGCTCTAAGCTAAATGAGTGCTCGTACGCAGCGCGCTCATTGGCTCAAGGGGGTCTGAGCGTTGGACGACGCTCGCACGTGCGCACCTGGTGCCAAATTATCGACGGCAGTGTAGCATCTCTTTTTTCCGGCGTGGTCACTCCGCGTCCAGTGTGGTTACCGCTGTGCCAGCACAATCGTCCAGGCTGTGGAGCTGACTGACCAGTAGCTCGTTCGAGCACCAACGCCACAACAGTCGGCAATAACATCGAAGCACTCGCGTTGAGTGCAGTTTGATGATTAGAAGGCCTAGTCAAGACTGCACACAGGACTCTGGCCGACCAGAGTTTTGCGCCATTCAGTAGAATTTGTCTGTTTTCTCACACATGCAAGGCAAATCACCAGGGAAGGGGGTACTTTGCTACGAATTCACTGAGCCTCAGTGTCCGAGGAAAAGCCGAGGTTCGCGACAGAAGGAAGAGATGAAATACCACGCACGCACACACGTGAAGGGAACAAGGCAACAGAAGTCCCCAGACGGGGTCAGGAATCACGAACTAGTGACCTACGAGAGGCGAGAACAACCTCGCCAAGAGTCAAATGCCCAGTTGTGAAGCCAGGATGTGATTCAATTGGTGGCCATTTAGTCAAACGAGATGCCGCCGAGTAGGGAAGGCGTAGACACGGGGGGAGATTAAACCACAAGACGAGAGTAAATAAAAAAAGACATCTGCCCACAGGGTACGAGACGACTGCATCAAAACGCGCGCACACACGCACGCACGTCGTGACGCACGCACAACTGTCAGTCAGGGTGTCACGACGACGACGACTGCTGCTACTGCTGCCACCACCAACAAGACAGCAGCGACAAACGCCACTCCGATGAAATTAAAAGCGAATTTACCGCGCCCTTGCGCGCACACACACACACACACACACAGCCTGCTGAGTTGACAGGCTCCAACAGGATCAAAGAGACGCATGAACCGTTTCAAGGTGTGTGTGTGTGTGTGAGAGAGAGAGTGAGTTGGTGAATGTCCCTCTCGTCTACGCGCTGTACGCGCACGAACGTCTACTTGAAACGGGTGGGGCCGATTTCAGAACGCTGACTAACTCCGTGTTACGTGAGTGTGTGTGTGTGTGTGTGTGTGCGCGCGTTTTTGAAGAGGGACGTTGTTGTCACACGACGATTCAAAAAAACACACGCGAAAACTGCACGTCGCTGCCAGTGGACAACTGGCACGTGAGAGTTGGCCTGCTTAACCGACAAGTGGCCGACAGCGTAGTCAAGTGAGTGCGTGAGTGAGTCAAGCACCAACTGGCCAAAGTTCACTAGACAGTGCAGCGATGTGGACTTGAGACGCGCCAACCCAACTATCGACAGGGGTGGGCGTGTGTGTGCACTGATGACATCCAAGAAACCTCGGAAACGGCTGACGGCGAAGTTGGCTGCATCGTAGACAGAACAGTAGTGACATGGCAGAGGGGGAGGGAGGGAGGGGGGACGTGCCGTCGGCTCTTGGAAATGTGAAACACCGCGCAGATTGACAGTGAGTTCGTTACCCGGGCGAACGATACAAAGCAGCTCTTCATGAAGTTAACACAAAAGACCGCGGACCACACAGCATGTAAACAACGCGAGTGAACGAGAGCACACACTGCACAGCGCGTCCGAGGTGTGCCTCATCAGGCGACCAAACCACTCGGTTAGCTGCTCACTCGTTCTGTTAGCGGCGGCCAGGTTAAGGCCAAAAGACGCGAACTTAAAGGGCGCTTGGATCAAGTAGCAACACAAGAAAAGGCTTGCATTACAAACGAAGAAATTAGAGCGCCAGATTCAACAAGCACGAGATTGCAAGGCCGCTCCCGCAAATCAAGTATTTAGAACTACTTAAATATTTTCAGTAGGTTGATTAATTTGACCACTTCTAGGCATCTCGACCAAACCGAGGACATTTCGACACTCATTCACCTGCGTGCTGTCTTTCAATTCAAACCTCGGCTGTGTGCTACATATCAGAACCAAGACACACGTAAGCATATTTCGATCCCATAAGTAACTGGCACTCGAACAATTAATAGGTCATTCGGATATTTGAGCCACCGATATTCTTACAAAACGTATAAATCATGAGAAAGCTCTAATGGGGCATTCTACAAACCCGTCGTTTAACCGAAAAACAAGAGGGGATTCATGAAAACCGTGCAGCATCGATACTGGAGTAGACTTCGGTCTGTCAGTATATTTGACATGATTGGAAAAGACGTTTCGGGTGGCAAAACAAGTCGGGATAAAGTGAATAACCTGGTTTGGAGAAACTGACAGCAAAATAATTGAGGCGAGGCGCTCTAATGGTACAATAAGGCAGCAATTTCTGCCTCATATCGTCGAGGAGTGTTATATACCACGGTGTTTGGGGACAGGTGAGTAGGTATTACCATCAAGTTTAACCAAAATAACAAATATAGGTCATGACGACTGCCTATTGGCTACAGTGAAGCGAGGTTAGCCCTTTTTCGTCATCTGGAGTTGATGGACAGGATTCAACAGACGACAGCGCAGTCATCGGAATAGTTAAAAGACAACCAGAAGTATGGGTCTTCCATAAGTGGCTTGCTCACTGACGCTAAGAAAAGCGATTTTTGGGGAGCAAGTAATCAAATAAGCGATGATTTGTGAATGATGGAACTGCGATTGTTCCATCAAAAAACCGGTGAAACGATGGAAGGAAGTCACAAACAATGATTGACGCAACACAAATGATCGGCTCATCGAAAGTCTGAAAAGCAAACAAGCAAACATGGGCTACGATGAAACAAAGTTAGCCATCCTTCGTCATCTGGAGTTGATGGACAGGATTCAACAGACGACAGAGCAGCCACCGCACTAGTTAAAAGACAACCAGAAGCACTGACGCTAAGAAAAGTGAATTTTAAACAGAAGCAAATAAACAAGGGACAAGCAATCAAATAGGCGGTGATTTGCGCGTGATGGAACTGTGACGGTCCCATCAACAAATATGTCCCAAGTAAATTCCGTAGATGTGGTGATTCACCAAATAAGAAATTCGGTACAAGGTAAACATGCTTTAGCCAGACAGAAGCAGAATGTCATCGCAGTAAATGGGCAGTTTTTTACAGATGGTGCATTAACAACGAAAGAGACCATGGATAAAGGATGCTCGACGTCGTCAATTAATAATAAATGCGAAAATGTGTAAGTAGGCAGTCAATATCAACAAGTAATTTAAACATAACGAGTTAAGGCGCACTGGGTTTGAAAAAAGAAGCGAAATTTCATGAAAAACGCAAATCGTGCCTATTTTAACCACAGGAAACAAGAAATGAAGTCAATGAAAATTAAGTGGAGCGACGTAATATAAAAAAATTCAACTTAACGACATAATTTTGAAATAGGCATCCTAAAATTTTTTATTGTCGAAGAGTAACAGTTTGATAACAAAAAAAGCGTAATCTTGGTCGGTCTGTGCTGCTGAGTGGCAAAATCAGGCCTGAAAATCTAGGGCATTAAGAGGTGAATAAGTTCAAATGCTACACATTGTAGAGAAAACTGATGAAGAATAAAGGAACCACTTACATTACCGAAAACAAAGCAACGAATTTAACGAACGCGGCCGAAGGCAATTTGGACGGACAGGGACAGTGAGGTAGAAAATCCAAACAAATTTATTTTAAAACTTAAAGCTACAGCTAACCTAAAGTTTGTACAAGTATGCATGAAATTAGTCCTAAAGTGTGTCAATGTTATGCGAAAAGTCACATTTACTGCTCTTTGTTTTCCGCATTCGCAAGGAATGTGCCGGCGCTTAATACACACTGCAGTGAATTAACACATTCTTTATTTAAATTAAAGCTTAATATGCAAGGAAAGCATCCAAAAGCAGGTTTAAACTTCAAAGAATTTCGCTTCCAAGAATAGGTGATGCACAGAACTTGATGGATCGGTTGGAAATCTGTGCACCGCTTGCATTTGTTATTAAACTTGAATTTTATAAGAAATTTTAAGACATTTAGCCGAAGCTGAACTTTAAATGCGACAAAAAAGGGCCAAAAGTTATGACTGAAATGAGAGAAACAGATGACAGAAGTAACCTCTCAAAATCTCCATTAAACGGGCAGCGTAATGTTGGTCGCGGCGTAAACCTTGGACTGATAATGCACTTGTCACGTTTATAGAAAACGTTTTGATTATCTAACCCAATCAGAAAACCCGTGAAAAAAAATTGCGAAACCTGACAGCAAATTAGCGAAAACTATATTAATTAATTGTCTGGCGAGGCGCATTATTGCAACAATGACGCGGCAATTTCTACTTTGTATGTTTCAGTAGCGTTCTAATCACGAAATTCGGAGACAGACAGGGAAGTGTTTCGATGGAGTGGGTGACAATGTCATTGAAGTTCTTGTCGTCTGTCCGTTGGCTTCGATGTTTTGAATTTGGCCGATAAAATAAAATTGGGTCAATGGACAATATTTCGTCATCTAAAGTCAATAGACGGGTTCAACAGATTATGTTGCGGCTTTCGTGAAATGTAGTTTACTGAAAATTTGTTGCACATAACCTTTTTTCTTCTCAGGTGTGACCGAACCTTTATTTGAAGATCTGGACATAAATTTCATGTAGCATATTCTATATTAGTAGAATATTAATCAAGGAAACTTTCGAATAATTCAGCTACTGTCATTTCGGATCCAGAGATGAATGGTTTTGAATTGTCAACAAACAATAACATTACTAAAAAGAAAATTTGATTTTCCGTCGGACAAATTTTTTAGTGAAGCATTGCCTGGTAGAGCTGTGCAAAGCTGAATCTGGTGTATATTAGGTAATTAAGTAGAATTGCTTATGTCGCCTTCCCAGCAAATTTATTATATTTCGAAAATGGAGCTGAATAACAATTTTAATCGAAGCATACAGGAAATGAGACCCTGTGGCGAATGTATGGAAAGGACTGCAGTGTACAGACAGCCACCTCGCGTGAGTGTTGCGTTTATTATGGCCCGATTGGGCCAATGACTCACCTCTTTTGTTATTGGCCTCTATCAACATCCGCCTGTTACGCACGCGTACTCATACGCACACAAAGCCACTTGGCTACTCTGACACCAATAAACGGTCGTGTCCGCTGTCGCCTATTTCCTACTATTTTCGAATTGTTACGAGCTATTACTAGAAGGTTGTAAGGTAGTGCTAAATTCAGTCACCACATAACTCTCTTGCCCAAATTGATTTCAATTGAAATGTGGCTTAGAAAACGACCTGTATCTTTTATCCACTAAACCACGTGTCCCAGTCAAGTATAGACAACTACGGATGAAGTTTTGTTAGACGCACAGACAACAACTAATTCTTCCTGTAAATCTAATTTTATCCGTCAAGGCGGGAAAATGTGCTTAGTTCAAGTTTTTGTAGGAAGTGTTTCGAATCCCAGCTGTCAGTGATGCAATTAGATTGGTTTAGATATCAGCCAATAGTATATGTATAGCGTTTCACTGACCATTCGAATTTTTAATGTAGAATACTCAAGCCCTGGTGTGAAGAAGACTGGTTCAATAAAACAGGCTTTATTGACCAATCACAAGCCACAACTACACATCAGGCGCCCAACATTTGAGTCCACCACGATAGCTTTGTAGCTCATTGTACTACACTCCTAAACGTGTCTGTCTCTGGTTGGCTGCATATCTTCCTCGCATGCTATTGGAAAACAGAGAGACAAAGGGTTGGTTGAGGCCAACTTGGTCCAATATGCGTCACCACACAGTCTCCTGCTCAGGACAGAAGCTGTTTTCAGCTTCTGGCTTGGTTCCCTGCACCGTTCCTAAGTGATGAAATACCCTGTCCGACACTACCCGACACCCCACATCTGGCAGGATAGTGGCCCAAGCGAATAGTAAACGAGGAACATTGCTCTTGTTGACTTACAGGAAGGCTGCTTTATCCATCGCAGGTTTCTTCTCTACTTTCAGTCCAGCTCACTTCTACTGTCCATGTCATCGTCGCTGAGTTGCCAATGCCTCTTTAGGTGCTGACGTCCTATTCACGGGCAATGTCTACGGATTTTAGTGAACGGGACATCGGATGACCGCCGTGACAACTTCAGCTGGCATTCAAGAGTCTTTGCCTCTGTTGTCTATAAAAGATAAAGGGCTGGAGTTCGATTTGCGTTATTCGAACGCATGCGATGCCACCAATGTAGAGTATCCGAGCCCTAATAGGAAAAAGACTGGTACAACAGAAGACGCTTTATTGACCAATCAGAAGCCAGAGCCGCGCGTCAGGCGCCTTCCATCCGAGTCCACCACTCTGGCCACGCCGATGATTATATACTGCACCTCAGTAGTGTCCTTCTCTGGTTGGCTGCCTGTCCTCCTCGCATGCCATTGGAACGCAGAGGGACACAGGATTGGCTGAGGCCAGCGCGGACCAATATGTCTGCTCCCTAATCCGACGCCACTGCAGAATACCCGAGCCCTAATAGGTAAAAGACCGGTACAACAGAGCAGGCTTCATTGACCAATCAGAAGCCAGAGCCACGAGTCAGGCGCCTTCCATCCGAGTCCGCCATGCC